CTTATCGTAAGAATAGTAGAAAAATGGAATGTACTACATGAACAGGTGGTACAAGTAACTCCATTCAGAATTTCAGAAGTATACATTATAGCATAAATATTAGTGGAAGTCACTGGATTAGACAACTGGTGGCTGTAAACATGGCGTCCACGAGTTGAAATTCGATACTGAATTCTCAAACAGGTGAATACACATACACGAGGAAGGAATATTAGTGGATGTTATGGAAGGGAGGATGGTAACACAACATATAACATACCACCCAAGAGAGGGGAGGGGAGTGGAGGGTGTTCCCGCACTAGACAACCCACAGCTGTTGACGAGGGGCTTATGGAAGCCAGAGCTCGACCCTGTACGAGCGTTTAGGTGATTACCTTCATGTGGGAAGGCAGGATGGTGGGAGGGAGGAGGAAGGAAGGAGACGGAAGGAGGGAGAAGGAAGGAAGGAGGGGGGGGGGGAGGGAGGACACACCGTGAGAGCTCCACTACTACAGGTGACCACCAGCACCACCAGCAGCAGCAGCAGCAGGCGGCAGGTCTGGCGTGGGGCCGCGCATGGACCTCTCCTTTATGTTAATTACAAACCACCAAGGAGGTAGGTACCATCTCCCACCCTACCTGACGGTGGTGCCGGCCTGCTGGGGCCTCCACGTGACGACAGCTGCCGTGGGGCTAACTGTACACCTGCATATTTGCTGCAGAAGACACACCAACTCTGCGGGTGCATGTTTGCTGCAGAAGACACACCAACTCTGCGGGTGCATGTTTGCTGCAGAAGACACACCAACTCTGCGGGTGCATGTTTGCTGCAGAAGACACACCAACTCTGCGGGTGCATGTTTGCTACAGGGGACAGAGGAACTCAAGGCAAAGATTAAAGGTTTGGCGTTCGAAAAAATTCTGTAAGAACAACTGCGAGGGTCGTGTTGAAGCACGGCCCTGACACTCTCACCCCCTCCCCCAGTTGCTTCACGCTTACACTATCCTCCACTATTATCTCACAATCCCCCACTACTATTATCTCACAATTCCACACAAGTGGAAGCTGGAATGGCAAATGGGTGTAAAGAATGTAAGGAAGTGGTGGTACCCTGTACGGGTGGTCACCACGTGGCAGCTGGCACTGAGGGGTGAGGTCGTGGAAGCCACCTCCATTCACACCTGTAAGGAAAGGTTCGACAAAGATAGTGATTGTTAGAATAGTGAAGTAGACGAGGCATAAAGAGCTAGATCTCTCTTCCCTGAAGATACTGATACAGTTCGTCCTCTTGAGCGTTCCCAGTGTTACAAAGCTGGTGTACTAACGTGCCCCAACCTAACCAACCCCATGCCCCACGAACAGAAAACGTGGCGTTATGTCAATTTCGCGAGCTGCCACCATTTATTGTACATCAGTTTTTTGTCTTTGGTAAAGTATACTTCAAAATGGCAGGAGAACGGGTTGGCAAGTCTGCCTAAGCTACGAGTTATATATATGTTGCTTGGAGCAGCCTGCTCCAAGCAACAGCCTATTGGACCAAGCTCTCACAGGTGGTCCTTGGGCAGTAGAACTCCCAGAACCCCATCCAGGTACAATCCAGGTATGATACTGAGTACGGTCGGCGAGAGTCGGCGTAGTGACACATCCCGTATAGTTGGAACTCCCATCCTGGCTATATGCATCACGACCTTACAGATGGGCCTGGTGTGCGCCACCGTGGCGCCAAGGGAGCGTGTCAACACCCGTCCACAATGGACAAACTTGTCCGCCACATTCTCAATACATTCCGTTTGTGTACACATGGTTTATACGTCAGTGAGTATCTAATGAGCGTGTGTGTACATTAAGTATATATGTGTGTGTAGCACTTGTGTGTGTATGAGGCCCCAGATGTTTACATACATTAGTTATATGTGTGCAGTACCTGTGTGTGTATGATCTCTGCGATGTATACATAAGTATATTTGTGTAGTACCCATGTATGTATGAACCCTATGATGTGTATACTATACATACTGAGGCACTGCATAACCGGCCAAATACTCGAGACAAACTACGCCTATAAACACAATTAACCTGGGCCACAGTGATGGGAGGTGGACGCAGGAACAGACTCCCTCAATGGTGACCATTTAGACTGTAAACAATGTGAACAAGAGCAGGGACAAACTCTCCAACACTATTATCTGTGATTGTCCTCTTATCCCCAATGACAAATAAGCTACAATATTTGATTGTTCACATTCTTTTTTTTTTTTGCTGAGTGGACTGTAATTATGTATGCTTTTCATATGTACTGTAGTACATATGTACGTGTAAACATATAGATACGTAACGGTATATGTGCTTACTCCAACCACATTCGGTAGCATATAGTAGTGTGACGTAGGCTACTTGAGCCAACCACACCCAGTAAAGTAGTGCAGCATATGACTGAATGTTTCTGGTTGACGTCAGATAAGATGGTATACGATGACTTGGTGTGCAATTTTCATTGCGTTATGGCTACGGAAGAAGTATATTAGCCAACGGAGTCTTCGAGAAACAATTTACCTCAAAATATGACAGATGCGTTAATATTATCGTATAAAAGGCAGGTATGTTTTTCACGTTGTCGTGGATGAACAGATTTACAGATTAAACTTTTCATTAATAATTGCAACATTAGGCTAGTTAACCGGAGAATATCATGTGTAGCCGCATTGGGTACGAAAACTGGCAGGTTTTGTATTATTGCAGCTAGGAATAATATTGTGATATGCAGAGTTGTATGAGCAAAGGTAGAGAGGAGGAGGAGGAGGCAGGAGCCGGGCTCTGGTTACCAGCAGGTGCTGGTATACCGTCTTCAACACCTCCTGACTAACCTCACGCGCCAACCCCATCCTGGTCCGCTCTTCTCGCCTCACCACAACCCAAACTTGACGGCTCACAGGTACACCGACCACCATCACCCTACTCATGTGACAACAGTTGAGCCTCAAGGCCTACTGTATATGCATGCGAGGCAGCTACGAATTAATGGCTAACACACTCTTTGGTTATTATGTCCTCCAACCTAGGCCTGTGTTTTGAAACGTGTCCAGGTAGTTTTCTTCCTTGCTGCTATTTGGTAACGTATTCCACATATCTGTAACCCTATTTCTGAACCAGCGTTTATTTATTTTCATCATATAGACATAGGCTATTACGTTACTTTCCGCTGCTATGAGCAAGATAAAACCCCTCCCCGTTGCTGTGAGCAAGATAAAACCCCTCCCCGTTGCTGTGAGCAAGATAAAATCCCTCCCCGCTGCTGTGAGCAAGATACAACCCCTCCCCGCTGCTGTGAGCAAGATAAAACGCCTCCCCGCTGCTGTGAGCAAGATGCAACCCCTCCCCGCTGCTGTGAGCAAGATACAACCCCTCCCCGCTGCTGTGAGCAAGATAAAACGCCTCCCCGCTGCTGTGAGCAAGATACAACCCCTCCCCGCTGCTGTGAGCAAGATACAACCCCTCCCCGCTGCTGTGAGCAAGATACAACCCCTCCCCGCTGCTGTGAGCAAGATAAAACCCCTCCCCGCTGCTGTGAGCAAGATAACTCTCCTCCCCGCTGCTGTGAGCAAGATACAACCCCTCCCCGCTGCTGTGAGCAAGATAAAACCCCTCCCCGCTGCTGTGAGCAAGATACAACCCCTCCCCGCTGCTGTGAGCAAGATACAACCCCTCCCCGCTGCTGTGAGCAAGATAAAACGCCTCCCCGCTGCTGTGAGCAAGATACAACCCCTCCCCGCTGCTGTGAGCAAGATACAACCCCTCCCCGCTGCTGTGAGCAAGATAAAACCCCTCCCCGCTGCTGTGAGCAAGATAAAACCCCTCCCCGCTGCTGTGAGCAAGATAAAACCCCTCCCCGCTGCTGTGAGCAAGATACAACCCCTCCCCGCTGCTGTGAGCAAGATAAAACGCCTCCCCGCTGCTGTGAACAACGGCCTATATTGTGATGAGAGCTACAACAAAGGCTACCTCTAGGCCTACTGTGAGTTGTGAGCAGCAGACGCCTTGATCTCCGTAATTGTGGACTGTACACAAAACCAATTTACAAGTGTTTTCAACAGAATATTTGAACACTGTAGAAATGAACCCCACCCCCTATTAACCTCACTTTACTCACCTAGTTGTGCTTGCGGGGGTTGAGCTTTGCACCGACGAATTTTGTTCGAACCACAACGCTATAAAGCGTAATTGCAGTACGCTTCACCCACGTACTACAATTACAAATAATCGCCAACAGAACCTAAACACCTAACCTATGCCTATATATGCACAATATGCTAATATATTATAATAATAATTTATATGTTAGAAAATTCTTGTTTTGAACGAACAGCATGTATAAATTTATGAATGCGTCTGTGGGGTCGACCGCTGGATGGAATGGACTTGAGTCGAGGACTGGTTGGTGCGTGGAGTCACTTTTGGGTCTTCGTTTGGAGGACGGACTGGATGAAGCGTTCTCGAGCAGTGCTTCACTGACGACCTCTGCTCGAATCGTGTCTAATTACTTTATCCATGCACTACAAACACAGTTAATCGCCAGCAGAACCTATGAACTCCTAACTTTCCAACGCCTACCTATACTTTGCATTTTATTGTATAATAATATTAATTTATATATGAGATAGTTTGATAGTTAAGAATATTATTAATAGTTCGTCATCCCCTTGTAAGAGGCAGATGGGGGCCGGGGTTGTCAGCCAGCAGCACTTCAGTAGCTGGTAGGGTTTTGGGCTGAGAACAAAACCTTTTTTTGTATTACAAAGTATGTTAATAGCGAGCCTGGCCTGAGGACGGGTTGGTCCATTACTCGCAGCACTCAAACTGAGTGTGGCTTCCCTTATGCTACTCCACTTTTTAAGTGCCTTTTTTAAATTCGTGGAGCCGCCCTGATCGTATGCCTCAGCCTGAAAATGAAGCGACTTTTGCCCGTTTCAAACTAGAGGATTATGAGGCAAGATGACTGGCAGCTGGAGGGAGACGTTCTTACCTGGAGGTTGCTGAAGAAGGCGGTGCAGTTGTTGGGGATGAAGGCGGGGTGTATAGCCAAGGTGAGGTCCCTGTAGGCGCCGCCCTCCTCCACCCTCACGCCCCCCCTCGCCTCCACCCCGCCCACAACAGCCACCGCCGCCCACACCACCACCCACGCCCGCAGCCCCATCGTGGGCGTCGTCAGCTCCTTGGGGGAACGGCTTACATGATGCATACGCTCCTTCCCTCCGGATAAACTCGCACAATATATTTCCCAAACGAATTCTTTTAAAATATTCCAGTCTTCACTTTGTGTGGGCAATGTAATCTTAGCCAATGATGGTATAAAACACTATTTGCTTTTTTTTCTGGTACAATTTGAGTTCCAGAATGACAGTTGTCACGCACTGTCTAGATGACAACACGTTATGTAGTGTGCACCAGAATGTTCAACACTGGTGTAAGCTCACCACCAACACACTGGAGTAAGCCCACAGGGAATATCCTGAGGTCCACTACACGTGTCGAGGAGCGCGAGGGAACGTCACACAACCTCCTCCCCTCACGGCTGGAGAGTGACTGAGAGGTGGGCGGCGCGCGTGGGGGGTGGGCGGGACCTGACTCCTGCTGGGTGTTGGAACCCGCTTAAGGAAACTCTATGGGAGTTTTAAGACAGTTTTTGCTCGGAGCTCAGCCCGTCCTCGAAACTTGAGATAATTTTAAAATGTGTTCAAACGCAAGTAACATCAGTCTATATAGCAGGTTGGCACTCGGTAAAATGAGTGCCTATGATTTTTGTTTAATCCTCTATTTTAATACGATTGTTAAAGCAAGGCGAGGCTATAACCATTGTTAAGTTCATAGTTATTTACTTGTAGTTGTAATTGTTTAATTGTATATTTAATGGTTATTAGTGTATGGGGTGTATGTCAAACTGCGGGTCACGACCCATATTGTGCCGCGCAAAAATTAAATGTCACGACAAACAAAAAAATCCACAAGAAATAAACAAGTGACAGAGACAATCTCATTCGCATTCATTGCAAATGAAGGGAAATTCTAAGCAAATAAAGGGACCTAGTCTCTGGAGCTCACTCCCCTAATGAATTGAAAAGCTGTCCAACTTTTGCCTCATTCAAAAACAAAAACAAAAAGTATCTAATTTCATCTAAATAGTTTCCTACCTAGTGCTTTAAACTCGCACTGTATCTAGTGCTACCCAATCCCCCAATATATATGTATTTAAGCCATACAACTTTACCATTGTGATCAATCCTGTCATCTTATATGTGCTATCAATATGCTTTATTGTGTCTACTAATCTTTGTCAAATTATCAATCAAGCTTTCAATGCTATCAATCAAAGCCATCAATGTGCTTTAATATACCTACTAATTTCTCTCAAATGTTTCTTACAATGTACCTGTTAACATTTTATAAATTTTGCTAAAATTGGCCAACTTAATATTATCTCTTAGATTAATGTGCGTACTAGTGGCTTTACAAGAATGTAAACACATCATGCTATGTACTTTCATAAACTCTATGTATCTTCTTTATATACAGTAATATATATAATTTTTTTTATACCACCTCTGGCTGGAAGAAGGGGCCGGACCCTTAGCCTCGGAGGAAACCACACATAACGCATTAGAGGGAATGTTTAGATCCCCTCCAATACAGTTTCTGTGTGCTTTCCTCCTACCACCCCCTTCCTTTTTTTTTTTTTTGCACTTTATTATGTATTTGATGGTTACAAGATATACATGCGTTGATACAAAAATAATACATAAAGTGCTTAAAGGTTATGGATCTCTTGGAAAAACACGACAATGGGAAACATTGATGAATGCCACAGACAGGTTCGATCATTGTTGCAAGTCAAACACTTCTTCGAATTCCTCTGAAGTTGGATTAGTGCCCAAGACGCAACAGGTATTCCCCCTCTGAATAGCAACACTGAGGCGCTGGAACAAGAAACTTTTTGCTCTCTGATATTTTGTAACTTTGATCGATTTGTCCCCCAATTCCTTCGGAACTTCAATGCACATTTTCCCCACGAACCGAGGGTCTCCAAGCCAATTGGAACAAAGCTGTAGCAGTGTGTTAGACCTCTGTATTTAATAATTTTCTTTGATTCCCTGAAAGAAGCAGCACCACCTTCATATTGGGGTACGTGGTGCAGGCAGAACTCCTCTCAGCCCCCCATGTGCTGGAAAATTTCTTGCAGTCCCTGATCACACAGGGCCTGGCCTACCACACACTCCGGACCTACCTTGTGGCTGTAGCCTTTTTTTTTTTCTATAAACTTCACCATTGAACATAATTCAAGAAGCAAAGCTGTGACTGCAAAGACAATGCAAATGAAGTCAGTTTTAATGATGTTTACAAAAGGTACCAGAATGAAGCTACATAGTACTGTTTACAAATTTTTATTACATGAATATCTTTTGTGATTTTATAAAGAAAATGTCTGTTCTTCCAGCAGAATAAGGTTAATGAGGGATAAATAAAATGTGAAGAAACCTACAAATCTATATTGACAACTTATTCCTCACTAGTTTTATATATCTAACTAAAAAACCAGCGTTGAATGTAATAAAATGCCATTTTCTGGGTGAGACCTGGAGGTTCCCTGGAGCCGGGAAGCCAAAGGGGCTCTCCCCAGAAAAGACAATATCTTAGACGAAACATTTGTAAAAACCTTGTTGAGACTACAATCACAGACAAGTTCAGATTCATACCAAGTCATTCATTCCCAAGAAATATCTACCAGCTGCACTTGTTCTTGATATGTTCAATATAAATTGTCCACAGTGCCATGCATGGCAAATTTAACAAATTATGGAAATTTAAAGGTAAATGTTTTACTTTGATTCTTTAATTTGTATTTATATTTGTTACTACTGTACTATGATTGTTATATATTATAAATATGTTTATGAATATGGGAACTAACAAATAACTCAGAAGAGTATTGATAGTACAGTACATACTGTACTTTAAAAATGCCAACAACACAATACAGTATATGCACATTTTTAAGGATATTACATTTTATAGTTAAGTGCATCCTATATTATTGAAATAAAGAAAACAGCATTATATACAGTAACTTCTCTGTAGCTGAAGTTAATGATTAGCAGGGCAGCTGTGATCTGGAGTCAAAGTACAGTTCGAAACAAGTGTTCTTTATTGCTCAACCTTACTGTTATCAATGCTAATTCAAATTGATGACATTACAAGAAAAGCTCCATATAAAATTTACACATTACCAATGAAACACTAGAAATATATTAATTAAAAGAAGTATTATATAATTCTTGTCATATGATAAATAAAAACCTGTACGGTCATCTACAGTATGTACAACCTTAGCTATAATGACATAGTTTGCACAACCAAGGCCAAGTTTATCACATCATTGCTGGAATCTAATGACTTCACACGCCCTTGCCTCAAAACTTAAGGTACAGTACTCTCTTAGCCTATGTCTGAGCTAGGTTCTTAATGACTTGGATTTGCACATTGTTCAAGTACAGCATGTGTGTTGCTGTCAGCACAGTTGGGTCACAACCAAAAAGCTTCCAGGTTCAATTCCTGCAGCAGGTCAGAAGCATTTGGGCAACATTTATATTCACCTGATGCTTCTATTCACCTCGCAGTAAATACTTACTGGATAGGCAACTGTTGTGGGTTTCACTGTGGCTAGGGTCAGTTGTTTTCCTAGAGGGACATGAATACACCCAACAGCTTTCTGTTGCCAGCTATGGAAAACCATAGCCCTTATGACTGCACAAACCCATTTATAGTATAATTATTAGCAAATTAGTCATAAATACATACAATACAGTATATGTAAATTCGTTTATAAAGGTATCACACAAATGTATACTTATTAATGTTGCAATCAAAGATTGTGATGAAAAGTTGCCTGGAATATAAATAAATAATAATATGCAATTGTAACATGCTTCTATATACACTTATATGTTCATGTGACAAAGTTGAGGTACAGAATCAAACAATACTGGCTATTAATATAACATGGCACATAACAAAATATCTGTATTCATAATCTTTGATTGTACTCGCAATTTACAGAGAAAAACAAACAAATCATGTGATGCAAGACTGGCAAACTGTCCTTCACATATATATATTTTGCAAATAATTAATGTTTATATTAATAAATTTCCTAGATAGTACTGTATATAACATAGCACAAACATGTTCACCTGAAAAGTAACTGTATTTGGAGTTACTGGACAAAACTGACAAAGGGCGGCACATAATGTGGAAACTCATGACATATCCACCAAAGCTGCGATGGGTTCACATTTCTCCAGTAAGACTGCTTTGTTACATGTAAGTTACAGGGCAAGGGTTAAGTATCTGCAGTAACTTGTAAAGCAACAAAGTTAGTTTCAATAGCATGAGAAAACTAAGATACAGTAACTACATTATTAGTAATCTTCTTATAGAAGGAAAATTAGGATAAAGTCATCACACAGTAAACTGGAAATTATTATCTTAATTATTTGTTAACAAAATTTCTGATTCTTGCCAGAATTAGCATATACCTAATACTGTAATATAATGACAACATTTCCATCCTTTGGCAAGGATATCCAACTACCTAAGCTTGTTAATAAAAAAATCAAGTTATAAACAAAACATTAACATAAATTTTATAAATTAATTCTTAATATATTTATTTTTCTAGCACTTGTTTAAACAGTTTTCATAACTTTCCACAATATTTGGATTCTTACAACTTAATAGTACAAATTTACAAATACTGTACATCAAAATCTCAATTAGATGTCAACATTTAAAATATTATAATGAAATATATATACAGTACCAAGACAGGAGAGGTAATATTACCATATTGAGCAGCTCTAATATTTGAAATAACAGTATTTAAATAGCAAGTGTACATTTTTCCTACTCAAAATTAGATTTAGCTTATTTATTAACAAATGAAAAATTTAGTTGGATAACAATTTATAATTACAGTACTATATAATTGTTTACATAAATTTGATTTTGATTATTTTATTACAGAACATTACAGTATTGTACTTTGATTCTGAAATACTGTGTAAGACTTGCTGTAAGCTATCTTACTGAGGACAAGATACATCAATCGTAAAAGTTCTGTTTGGCATATTGAGGACCAGAGCCAGAACTTGGTCCTCACAGATGCACAGGGAATGGGTGACAATTGCCACCCCCCACCAGAAGAAGCCTCTAGAAAGTTAGAGGATTTACAGACAACTGGAGGGTTCACAGAAAACAAAGCATCTAACCCTCCAAACACTTCTGCAAATCCATCACACCAACCCGTCCTCGACTCATTTCCATTACATCCAGCGGTCGACCCCACAGACGCATTCATAATTTTTTACATGCTGTTCAATCAAAACGGGAATTTTTTCAAATATTAAATAATATTATAATATATTACCATATATTACTATGCATATATAGGCATATGTTAGGTGTTTAGGTTCTGTTGGTGATTATTTGTATTTATAGTATGTGGGTGAGCATTTATAGCGCTGTAGTTCGAACAAAATTTGTCAGTGAAGCACTTGTTCCGGAAGTGTTCGAACGAAATCAGTTGTGAGTCATGTGTAAACTGTTTTTCAATCATAAACAGGGAATTTGGCGGGTGCATGGAAACATTTTTGGGTCTTTGGAGGACGGGCTGATCACACAGATCAAGGGATTCACTCAAGCTAGCTCGAAACTCATTAGTACCAATTATTACCACCACCAGGCGGCCTGGCCCAAGAATTGAATCAAATTAATTCTTGAAGATGAAGATGTCATCAGAAGATACCAATTGGGTAAGTGAGAAAGTGGGTACGGCTAAAGAATAGCTTGTGGAGAGGAGTTGCTTGCAGGAGAAAAAGAGCTGGGGCTTGACCTAGCTTGCATGATGATTTTTTTGAGTACACTGGTGGTTTGCAAGTCTTGAAGAGGAAAGGAGGATGTTTAGGGGGCAGTGGTGTAAAGAACATTTTTAATTCTTTTTCCAATTTTTTTTCCTAAAAAAAAAAATAAACTCTGAAAAGACTAACACCTTAATTAAGTACACACAAAATAATTAAGTTATCAACTAAACTACTATTTTTCAAAATGAACTAAAATATATATAATTACATAACTAAAATCTGCATTCTACACACTACAGCCGTAAGTGACAGCACTATTGTTTCGAGTCGCTGAGTTTTTCGTGCATTTCTTCTTCTTTTCAGAAACATGTACTTTGTATAAAATAAAGGACATACTGGTACGTACTGTATTTCTGAAAATAACACGTTACTGTAATATAAATACAGGTGGAACCTCGAGTCACGAGCAGCTCCATCTACGAGCATTTCGAGTAATGAGCAAGCCACTCGCCAAAAATTTGTCTTGATTGACGAGCTTCTGCTCCATTAATGAGAAAACCATGAGGTGCTTCCTAGCGTGTTCCCGCTGGTTCTTGCAAATTCCCTGATGCTTCTGATGAAACAAATCAATGGTTTTTTTTTAAAGATGCCAATGATGCTGGGATGTAAAGGGGTGACTGCTGTAATGTTACAAGGCATTGATTTTTTCTTTAGAAAAAATGAAAAAAAAAAAAAAAAAAAAAAATTTGAAAAAAAGAACAAATGTCAAAAAGGTTCATTCAGTGTATGTCAGGTAGACTGCTCCATTTTCTATGAAACAAAAATAACAAAAATAAAAAATATAAACAAAAAATTTAACAAATTTGAAAAAAGAAAAAAAATGTCATAAAGGTTATTTCAGTTTATATCAGGTAGGCTGCTCCATTTTCTATAAAAAAAATGAAAAAAAAAAATTGAAAAAAATTTGAAAGAAGAAAAAATGTCATAAAGATTCATTCAGTGTATGTCATGTAGGCTGCTCAATTATTTAAAAAATCAAATATCATATTGATGTTTTTCGGTGGTGGAATGGATTAATCTTATTTCCATTATTTTAAATGGAGAAATTTGTTTTGAATGACGAGTGTTTCTCATGACGAGCTTGGTGCCGGAACAGATTAAATTCGTTAATCGAGGTTCCCCTGTAATTTAAACCAATTTGACATAGTTATCCATCAGAATTTAGTGTTTAGTGTGTTATTGCAGTAAATTATAGTCACTTAGTTGGCTATCTTCATTTTAAGTTATGGAAACCTCCTTGGTGTGTAAGACGGTAACCTCTAAGGTCTGTAAGATGGCAACCTCCAAGGTGTGTAAGATGGTAACCTCCAAGGTCTGTAAGATGGCCACCTCCAAGGGGTATAATTGTTTTATTATTTATATATTCAAGAGTTCTTACATTCATTCTTGTAAATACATCTTGTAAATAAGATGGTAACCTCCAAGGTGTGTAAGATGACAACCTCCAAGGTGTGTAAGATGGTAACCTCCAAGGTCCATAGGACAATGACCTCCAAGGTGTGTAAGATGGCAGCCTCCAAGGTGTGTCAGGTAAGGTTAACCGTCCAAGCATGAAGGGTTAACTCAGCACAGGGCTTCTAACATAATAAAGAAATGTGTGTGTGTGGCACAGTGGTGAGTGCAGTCAGGTCACAGCTGAAATATCACAAGCTCGACTCCTGTGGTTGACTACAAACATCTGGGCAACGTTTCTTTTCACCTGATGTCTCTGTTCACTGAGCAGTAAATAGGTACCTGGGAGTTGGACAACTGTTGTGGGCTGCATCCTGGGAAAGGTCAGCAGTTGGCCTAGAAGGACAAGGATAAGCCTACCATGCTAGGGGAAAACCATGATGTGAACCATTACAAACATGCCATTTCTTACTCTACACAGACAGTAATCACACTAATCTGATGTTTCAATGAGAAAATCATTGACATGAGAAATCAAAGAGAAAATCACAAGAAAAATAAGATTTTCTCATTGACACATCACATTAGTGTGATTACTCTTTGTATTGAAAGAGGAGCATCAGAGGTAGAACATTCCTGGATGACAGAGCAGAGTGCTGGGGTTGGGGGATTATGTGAAAATCCTGATCGGGCTTCAGTGTAAGCCTCGGGAAATCCTTGTGAGCTCAGTAGAACTCCAGGGGCCAGATTCACGAAGCAGTTATGCAAGTACTTATGAACATGTACATCTTTCCTCAATCTTTGACGCCTTTGGTTACATTTATTAAACAGTTTACAAGTATGAAAACTTCCCAGTTAACTGTTGTTATTGTCATAAATAGCCTCCTGGTCCTTCAGAGCTCATTAACTGTTTAATCATTGTAAACAAAGCCACCAAAGATTGAGAAAAGATGTACAGGTTCGTAAGTGCTTCCATAACTGCTTCATGAATCTGGCCCCAGGTTGCAATTCTTTTGACCATGTCGTGGCCTAGTTGACTAGGGCATGTGCGTGGAAACACCCACAGCATAGGTTCAAACCCTCGTCATGACACCTACAGATTTTATCTCTTACTCTACGAAGTCTAGGTACTGAACTTACACATTGTGTTAATTCCATGCATTACAGCACCAATTATGATGTACCCATTTATCTAAAATCTACTAAAATAACCAGTTATTCTTAAATATTATATAAAATGCAGTAATGTTTAATGGTGAGCAGGAACCTACTTCCTACGGCATCAAATGATGATTGTGAGGTTCCCTCCAGCTTGCAGCCTGCCTCACTGGGTACATACACTATCACAATAACACATTATTTGCATCACTTTCACATTTGTTCAAATATATATAGATTAAGATCTGCATAATTTAAATTTGGAATTTCCTGTACATATTTTCATGGGATAAAATATGCCAAGCATTCCTGTGTAGCCAAAAATCATAAGTATTCTTGTTTTAACTATTTCAGTAATTTACATTTTACTTAGAGGAATTGTAAGACCAGATGTTAACATGAACAAATTAAATTCCATTTACTGAAAATCTAAGACAAGCACAGTACTTTATTTTAACTTGTGTAAGACTAAACAAAAATACTGTAATATGACGATGTAGTATTAATGACGAGGGTTACATCCACACGAGACTTGCACCTGCCACCACGCCACATACCAATACCCACTCTCGACAAACTCTGCCTAAAACAACTAACACCAAATGATACAATTAACATGGCTCTTCAGAAGTACAAGGTGTACATATGTTAAATTTGTGAAGCTTTGTTAAAGGAAGCCAAGTGTGATGTGCACAAGACAGATGTCTCAGGACATGCTTGTCAGGTGTCAAAGGAAGCACACACGTTGCCACATTTTGAACTGTTGTGAAGTCCTTTAATGAAATACTGACTTTTCTACTGAACAACTTTGATACTGCATGTTAGACTGAGCTACAATATCAACCTCAAATTACATTTTGCTTAATATACTGCATCTTGGAATGAGTATAAAGACATAAAGGCCTGATTAACTATATATTTTTTGCAATGCAGCATTTTTTTTGTACATTAAAGTGCTGTCGTTCTCGACCACACTTAAAAAAGGAAATACTAAGTATCTATACCACCCTTCAGTATGCACCATATTAAAGTACCTGTAATTACTCTGAGATCAAGTCTTACTGCAATTCTTAATATTACTAGTACAGTACAATACTTGAAAATAATGCTTTATATAAAATAAGTTTACTATAACGAGTGAATAGGATTCATCAACTAAATACAATTTTATGTAACAATCTTAGCCATTACAATATACAAATACTGTACAATAATACATTTTATACAATATATTCTATACACATACCACTTCTTTTCAACAAATGCAATGCCAGCAAAAAGTTGCTATAGTATTTTGTACAGATAAAAATACATTTACAGTACTAGGTAATTCTGTTATTCTTTCTTATTCTTATTCATTCCTTTCTCTGAATGAAAATTGAACAAAATAAATAGTCACTATGTATCACAATACATTCAACTTCACTTTGCCCCAGCACTGTATGTAAGTAGTGTACCCAGTGGGTGCCGTTGGTTGAAAGCGACTGATGTTACATAGTAAACAGTATATAACATCGGCCGCTTTCAACCGACAGTGCACACTGGGTATATTCTTCACTGCTGGCAGTAGGTCTACTACTTCACCTTATGTACAGTACATTTTAAATTAATAATAAGAATAAATAATTTATTTTCATCTCTTCTTTACCTCACTCCTTAGACCCTTCTTTAGTGGCTTCAGTAGAACTGCTGGCATCAGTGGCTCGTGTTGACGTAGCAGCTGGAGCCGGGTCAGCCTTGGGGAAGTCACCTGAGTTTGTCTCCTCGATGGCTTTTCGCAGCTGATGGTAACAATAAATACTAATATTAAAGAATGTGGCAGGAAGTCTTATATAAATGATGAAAGAAAAATGAAGCTCCATGGTTTGCACACGATAAACTATTTAGTGTAAATGAAGGTAATATTTAACATAAATTATAAATTAAAATAGTTAACTTCTAGGTTCATAATAATCAAATTAAATTTGTTTTATCATGAATATATGTTGTACCTTTTCTGAAATCACAAAGATTTTACACAACAATTAATGGAAAAATACACATACTGTATATGACTAATATTAGAAGAATGTGACTACCACTTTACACATTTGACTAACTCCAGCAAGTTTTATAATACATTATTATATAAATACATAATCATAGTCATTGTGGTGTAAGTCTTGTTCAAACCCTATACTCAGACCTTGATAATGCACTCAGGAGAGTGCAAGAGACTTCATGTAATTCAAATCTTTGCATAAAATACATAAATGCACAAGTATCGATTTTTTATCCTATTATATAAAAGGCAATTAACTCAGTCTTTGAAAAACATATTAGTGTGAGAAGGATTTCTTTACTTCAAACATACTTTATTGTATTTTTTGCTCAATAATTGAATTATTCCATGCATGCAAACAACAATGCAGAAAATTCCAAGCCACAGATTTATGTCTTCAGCAGACCATCAAAGCCAATGATTCATGTCTTCAGCAGAGCATCAAAGCCACTGATTCATGTCTTCAGCAGAGCATCAAAGCCACTGATTCATGTCTTAAGCAGAGCATCAAAGCCACTGATTTATGTTTTCAGCCGAGCATCAAAGCCAATGTATCAAAGCCACTGATTTATTTCTCCCCAGAGTGCGGCCTAACCTCAGGCCGGGCTTGGGGAGTAGAAGAATTCCCGAGACCCTCACCAGGTATGCTCCCTCTCCAGGTAAGAGCATCAAAGTCACTAATTCATCTCTTCACCAGAACATCGAAGCCACTGATTCACATCTTTAGCAAAATATCAAAACTACTGATTCACATCTTCAGCAAAGCATAAAAACCATTAATTAATGTATTCAATAGAACATAAACGTCACTAGGTCATGTCTTCAGCAAAGCATTACTGTAAATTCACTAATTTTTATCTCCAACAGAGCATTAAAGCTACAGATTCATGTCTCATGTGAAGCATCAAAGCTACAGATTCATGTCTCATGTGAAGCATCAAAGATACAGATTCATGTCTTGTGTGAAGCATCAAAGATACAGATTCATGTCTCATTTGAAGCATCAAAGATACAGATTCATGTCTCATTTGAAGCATCAAGGATACAGATTCATGTCTCATGTGAAGCATCAAAGATACAGATTCATGTCTTTAGTGGAGCATCAAAGCCACAGATTTATGCCTCCAGTGAAGAATCAAAGCTACAGATTCATGTATACAGTGCAGCATTAAAGCTACAGATTCATGTCTCATGTGAAGCATCAAAACCACAGATTCATGTCTTTAGTGAAGCATCAAAACCACAGATTCATGTCTTTAGTGGAGTATCCAAGCCACAGATTCATGTCTTCATAACTTATACAAAAGGAAAGAGGCTCAACAAAAAGAGCATTCTTTCCTAAATATAATATAGCTTTATTCACTTGTGTAACTGATTTAAATTTGTTAGAATAAACTTGGCAGAAAGAACAAAAGGCTTTCAATATTAATAAAATGCTACGCAAAACAAGTAATCTATTTGGTAGACAATGATATTTACCAAATATATAACAGTTAACTTGAGACAGTATTGCCTGTCAAACTGATTAATTATATAAAGTATGTTGTCTTTCATTAACATACGGTTGAACAGCTCCAGGGTTTGATAAATAAGACATATTTTTGAACAAATTAAAACATGCAATTTACATTTCCTGAGTATCTTTTAAAGCTATGCAGAAACTGCCCTTTTCAATGTGTCATGCATACAAACTTGTAATTAACTAGGGAGAATACTTGTGCTTTGAAGTAACTGCTGGATAGTATATTAAAACATATAAATACACTTAATATGTACATGTTAATATTTTTATATATATATACCTGTATATATATATATATATACAGCTTTTGAGCCCAATACAGTAATACAAACTAGTGTTAGATGATCAGTGCAATAACGATGCATCACGGAGCAAGAAGTAATCATTCAACAGTCACACGCACACACATTGTAACCGCCAAATCACAAGGTACTGTAAATATTTAGGTATGTAAACACATAAGGCTCTGAATCAATATTACACTTTTCTGTTAGGAAGAATAATTTTGTTTGTGTATAAAGTAAGATTATAATGGATGCTAGGAAGTGACTGGGAATAACCAATGGAGGCCAATTCATAAAAAACTAAACTTCCAAAACCTCCCTGCAATGCAGTGGTCAGGATAGCTGGATCACAGACAAAAGAGCCTGGTGTCAATTCACACGGAAGGGAAGAAGTGTTTGGGGAATATTTTCTTACACCTGATGTTTCTGTTCACATAGCAGTAAATAAGTACCTGGGAGTAAGACAACTATTGTGGGTTGCACCCTGGGGAAGGTCAGTAGTTGGCTTAGAAGGACTTTGATAAGCTTAACAGGCTTCCTCTTCCTGACTACAGTATAAGAAAGTGAGTGGACAGCAATGTTTGAGGGCACTAAACTACCACCACCAAGTTGTAACACTGTGCCCACCTCTCATCTTTGAGTTCCCTGACAAGGGGCTCTGGTGGCTCCATGTTGCTAGCCACATCGAGATACATATAAATCACATCAGCCCTTGTAAGTCATTAAAAGCCTAATGAGAACCAGAAACTAAAATCTGGCCCCCTCCTCAAAGAGACATAGAGAGCAGGAGATCTGTGATCGCCCTCACTATACCCCTTTTAAGTATGCAAAGCAAAACAGACAACTGAAAAGTTAAGAGAAAGTAACATTTACTTCACCAAATTACTCAAATTTCAATTTAGTGTTATGTCAGTTCATTTTGGTATCATAGTGTTCACAATAGAATTCCCTACAATGGTATATGCATATAAAGTCCAAAAGTCCAGCGTGCCACCCACACCAAACCCAAAAATCGGCCAAGCGTTACCCATGAGCGTGCAAGAATAGTAAATCTGTATATTCTTTTCAGTTTTCTCACCTCAATTCTCATGCTATGTCATTCCTTTTGGTATCAATGTGTTCACAATAAAATTCCCTACAGGGGTATATGCATATAAGGTCCAAAGACCTGGCATGACCTCCCCCCACTGCAGCAAAGCCAAAAGTCGGTCAAGCGTTACCTGTGAGCGAGCACCAATTAGCACACCCGCAATCTAATGTGTATACTCTTTTCAGTTTGATAACATCAATTTTCATGTTACATCGTTCATTTTGGTATCACATTGTTTGCAATATAAAGTCGCCCATTTTAAAACTAGTCCCATAATAATCGAACAATAAATGGAATTTTAACAAACATCTTAATTTTGGACACTCATCACCACACAAGTATTTATAATCTTTCCGGTGTTCTGACCTCAATTGTCATGCTATGTCGTTCATTATGGTATCAAATTATTCGTAATCTAAAGGCGCACATTTTAAAACTAGTCCCATAATAATAAAAAGATAAAGGGAATTTTAACAAGTACTGTATTTTAATTTCGCACGCAAAATGAGTCCCTGGCGGACATCTGTAAGATTATTAATGGACGCAAACTGTGTTGCCGCCGAACAAAAGGTTTAAAATTACATTTTTTTTTCATTATGGCATATTTTATAGACGTTGGTGTATTTTAAAATGTGCGCCAACGTCTTCCCATTTTCTGTGATGGCCCATGTGGCACATGTCATAGAGGGGGGCCATAGGGGGGTAGAAATAGCCTATACTACTCTATTCCTTTGAGATGTATTTCTTTCTTGTCTCAATAAACATACTTGAACTTGAACTTGGGGGGCCATCTAGTTTTTAAGGCTTATAATCCAAATAAGTATGACCTAATACCCATATGACCCATACCTGATAAGTGTGGAGTAAAGCTGTACATGCTGGCTTGGTTTCAGAGTACTCCTTGTGGTGTTGCTGCTAGGTTGCTGCGCGCTCATGGGTAATGCTTGGCGGATTTTCTGGTTTGCAGTGGGTAGCGCACCTGTTTGTTTAACCTTATATGCATATATCCATTTAAAGAATTCTAATGCGAACAATTTCATACCAAAATGAACGATGTAACATGAAAATTGACATGAGAAAACTGAAGAGAGTACATATACAGTACACATTTTAGGGCTTGGGCATGCACGCCGAGCAGCTCAAAGTGTTAACAATACTGTATTTAGTACTTGTTTACATCTCTCCCTGTGATCATACTACAGAGCTGTTGGCTGAAGTAGTGGGAAATTTGAAAGGTATCTTTCATGCAAGGTCCCTTTCTTAGAGCACCGAAGACCAGTGAATCCCAGAACAAAACTAGGAGGAAGAGAGAAAACCCACGAAAGGACTTACCACTACAACCAACACTGGAAGAGGTATGCCAAGGTGCCCCAAACATGCAAAAGGATGAAGCCTGCCTGGAAACTTGGAACCCCCGAAAAACAGGGTCAATGAACACATCACAGACCAAGAATGAACAAAAAGGCCACAAATGCAAGACCAGGATAAGGGAATTGGACAAGAATTTCCCCTAACCTCAAGGAAAGGGGTGAAGAAGGGCTGGCACTGGGAGAGATCGCCCAGGGAAGATGGCGACCCAGAACTGACCAGATGGAGAACTAGCTGGAAAACACAGGAAACCTGGCATCTGACTCCACAGAAGACCTACCCCAACCAGGAAACACTGATGACCCAGCCTAAACTGGCCACCTCAATGTACACAAGAATGGAGACCCCCTAAATGGGACAAGATGATACAAACACAAAAAGATACTGCATACCACACTGCTGAAAAGAGGTGGACAGGAGAGCCAGGGCCCATGTCAACCAAAGAAGGGCCAAACCAGTCAGATGACCCAAAAGTCAGACAGCAAGGAAGTGACCACTGTCTCCTGGAGCATGGGAATGGCTAGGAAGGAACGCAGCTGATGCAATACCAGTGAAGGCTAAGACCCCCCACTAGAGGCCCCCCCCTGCCAAGCTTCCCCATGTTTCCAGAGAACCAAACAGAAAGCGGCTCAGAACGGCTCAGATATGCACAACAATCACACAAAAGAAAACGATTACAATGGAAACTGGCACAAGTGCCAATGATAACAATGGAAAAAGGGCAGCTGCATAAAATACACTCTAGGAAAGGCGGGAGGAAACACGCAAACAATGAGAAGCAATGAGCACAAAAGATGGCCCCTCAGAGAAGTTTGAAGCCCAGTTGAAAACCCAGCCCCAAGAGAGCAAGGGCACAACAAATTAGGAACAAAGCACCAAGAGAACGTCTGCCGGCCAGAAAACACCGGAACTCCAATCAACACTATGGCATAACTGGAACCTGCAAACCAGGGCAGGTTAATAAAAGTGGTCCCAGTTCAACAGGAGAAATACTTGCATTTCTTTGTCCCTCTCAAACTCTTGTTCACTAAGGCACAACAGACAATTATTTTATTAAAAGCAATTAATATTTAAGTGAAAATATAGCTGTCATTTGTTGGTTACATAGGTACTTACAAGAAAATTGTACGAAACAAAATGCACAAAGTTTAGCAGGAACAAACATTGCAAACATAACATTCATTCCACTGCAAAAATATCTAATAAACCTTTCTTCGTATTGTGGACCTCAAAAACCTCTCTCTGAAAGAGCCCCCAACACCCTTATCTCTTCTGGGCTTGCTGAAGTCACCAGAATTCGTTGATTCAACTGCTTGTCTTAACTGGAAGGCAAGTATTAGGGAAAATATACTGAGGAGACAATAAAAGCAGCAGAGTGGCAAGGAACATTAATGTGCATGTGTAGTGCCAAGAGGCCCCCCCCAAAAAAAAAGCGTTGAATGTAATGAAACACCATTTTCTGAGTTGAGCCCAAGAGGCTCCCTGAAGCTAACAGACTATTATTCGCTATATTAGTCTAGAGCATCAGTTACTGGAGTTCTTGAACCTACCAGAAACCACGAGCCAGAACCTGGTTCCGTCAGAGAGGCGCAGGGAGCAATGGCTTATGAACAATCCACTGTTTGAAGAGTATGTCATGTCTGCCATCGACCAAGGGTATCACGGAGAAAGGTAGGCAAACCATTACAAACCCCTAATGTCAAAACATTGCAACCCAAGACCGAACAGAGCCCAAGAACTCCCCCCAAGAAACAACAAACATGCAAGAATGCCTCCACCGGCTTCCTGGAAGGGACAGCCCCCAAAGCTGCCCGAGTTTCACAACCATCTGAACCCCTAACCCTGAAACCCTCAGACGTTTGGGAGCCGGGAGCAGGGGGGAGAAGGACGAACAACACCAACTGCGGAAGGACTCGGGAGCACGGATGAAACCAAAGTCAAAATGACTAACACCCCAAGTCCGGGACCTCATAACCCAAACAGGGCAGCCTCGTGGCATCTGGGTGAGCAACCAACCTAGTGCACTGCAGCAACTAATATCTAGCATGCAACACCAAGGCTGCCTGTACTCGAACATCAATATCAGAAGACTGGGTATCTGGAGCACGAGCAAGGAATAAGCCTTGCAAGATTCTGGGTGAAAGGTGTCATTTTACCCAGCAAGAAGTATGACGGAGGTAAAAGCATGACGGAGTGTTACTCTGAGACAAGGGGACAGAGCAACCATCAAACATGCACTCGACAAGTTGGAACCCAAAGGACGCGTCCATAGGTCCAATGAATCCCAGTGGGGTTTCCCAGGGTCCCTTAGGATGACTGCTAGGGAAAACCCAAGCAAGGTATTGCTAACCAGTTGGCCCAAACTACCAAGAAAACTGCTAAAGCTGAACTTTTGTGACATGTACAAGCACGGGGGCCTAGTGGAGGACTGCCCATACAACAAAAGGTAGATAAAACCAAGGGGGCAGACCCCCACCAGGCAAAACAAACAAAAATAAAAATAAAACCCCCGCAAAAGCACGTCCCCAGGAGGAACAGAATCGGCTATGGTGATTAATGGGAGACAAGCTGCACAATACTGTACCTTGCTCCCCTACCAGCAATGATACCACTTCCTATCCAAGGCCAAACAGTGGCAACAAAAACCCCAGCTGGCCCCCAAGGACGGACAATTGCCGAGCAGGAAAAGACCCTTACGGAAGCGGTTCCCAAACTCCTTATGGAAGGTAACCTCAAGACGCAAGAGGCAGTACTTACAGGGCGCTTAGAGAAGGCAGCCCAAGCGCATGAAGCCCCAGTAATGATGAATTACTCATGGCCTGTATAGCGCACACAGCAGAAATGCACCACAAGGCATAAAACTCTTAGAGGCTCAGGCCAGAGCCGACAACTGCCATAGTTCACATCAGTCGAGAAACCGATAGCTAGAGCAGCGGGTGTGGGTGGGGGGACTCTGATGTGCGGACGACTAATGCGACAGTGTTAATGACGTTTGCTAGTTTTAGTTTGGGAGTCCTGCTTCCCTGTTCAGCTTTTATGTAGCACTTTTTACCATGTGGGGTTTGTTTTGTTACGGCTACCTTTCTAGTTAGCCTCTCTGAGGGGGCCAGCTTCTGGCTCGTGGTCCCCGGTAGGCAAAAGAACTCCAATTGACTGATACTACGGTCTAATACATACATATCAGCCTGGTAATCTCCGGGAAGCCTCTGGAGCTTCCACAGAAATACACTGTATTAAAGACATGTATTCAATAAATATTAAAGAAAACAAAAAATAAATAATCAAAACAAATTCTAACTATAATAATATAATTATAATAATAATGTTTATTCTGGTAAAAGTACATACATTCAAAATGAGTTACAAACAGAATGTTGGATTTCTAGATAGAGCTGGTACATACTATGTCTAAAGTCACTAGTACGCACAGCGTTTCGGGCAAGATGTGGAGAGGAAAACACTTAAGACTAAAACTTAAAACTAATTGAGATCAAAGGCATAAATTAAATTGAAAAGAGGAAAAAAATAAAAAGAATGATAATAATAACATGAACTACTGTACAGTCTACTCCAGGTTTGATGTGAGAACCATTCACAAGCACCTCATGGAGAAGTGATCAGCATTGTTTATTGTCAAGGGTTTTATAGGAAATATCTATCGAGCTTGAGGCTCGATAAGCTTGAAGCTGTTGCTCCTTGTGAGAGCCCTGATGAACGTTTGGATTAAACATATTACTGGATCAGTATTTTAAGTCTCATTGAGAAGCAAACTTTTATAATCCAGATGAAACTAATATTTAAGGAGATAGTGTTGAATATACATTGTGAGTATGACAAGTGTGGCCAATCCACATAATGAAACTTGTTTCCAACAAATTGAATCACCATGCAAGTTTCCACTGATTTGCACACTGACCATGCAAGTTATTTAAATAATCTTAATTTTAACTTTTAATAGTTCAATCTGCATAAATTATAATCACATAAAACCAGGAGTGAACTGTACACATGTAAATTTAACTGTAATCGCCAAACTTCAAATCGAGAGAATAAGATTTCATTCAAATTCATTTGAAATATTAGCTTATACAAATACAAATTTAATATAAATGTACCTCTTTCAGAGCCACGACACCAATGATCCTGCCGATGGCTGTGACATAAGCATGGTTCAGACCCAGCATGGAGAACAGTGAGTGCACCTGGACAGATGAAGAAAATGTTGAATAATACAGAGTTGGTGGCATTACCCTCAAGTACAGCTATTAACAAATGGATCATAATGACATAATTGATGTCCTCCTAATGAACAACTGGCAGGTAAACACACGGGCACAATTTTGCCCTAATCTAAGGAGCTCTCGGCAAGTTATGCACATTAACATAAATTTCATGAATATAAAAGCTACTGTGACATACTAATAATGTTATCTCTACATGTTACAAATACAGTTCATCAGTATTAATTAAATATGAATAATAAAGCAGAGGCCATAACCTCTGCATTAGGCCAGAGCCAGAGCCAGCTTCTGGCTCAGGTCTCTAGTAGCACAAACAGAACTTCTGTGACTGATGAGATCTTTTAGAGCAATGTCAGGAAGGTAGCATCAGGCAGCCACCAGGGGACTACCCCAAGATATCAGACATATAATGAAATCCCTGACCTCTCAAGGATTCTTTTTACAATTCTTGGAAATCATACAGTATTTAAACAAAATGTACTAGTATAGTATTTATGCTCAATGATCAGTTTGTAAACTCCTCTTCAAAACTTACTTTAAGAAGTGAGGTTCTCTCAACAAGTTGAAATGGTGCAGGATCAATATGACACTTGCTAAAGTCTACCTCCTTGTCGAGTTCCTCTTCTTCCCAACGACGCTGCTCTTCTAGAGTCATCTCTACCATTCGTTCCATCGGCTGAAATAGAAATTAACAAATATACTTTCAGAAAAATTCATTACCACAGGACAAATTTATATAAATTATGTATGTAAACAAACCGAATAGGAACTTCAATTTAAAATAAATGTATCTTATATTGACGAGAGACCTTACCTCAGCACTCACATACAGTGCTATAGTACATAGCCAAAATCCCACCATTGAATGTAATGAAATGGCAGTTACTGGAGGAACCCCGGTGGTTCCCTGAAACTATGTTCCTGAGATTATTTTATATTAGAAGGTCACATCAGCCATGGCTAGTTTTGTTAGGCCTACTGGGGACTTGAGCCTGAATGTGACCACCCCCCTTACAGAGGTGCAGAGAGCAAGTGATAATCTACCACCTCACCAGAGGAAGCCTCCAGAAATAAAATATATGGCAGGCAGAATAAAATACCACCTCCGTATCATGAAGGAGAGGGGTGAGCATCTTTGTCACAGCCACCTAGACTAGAACCACAGGTTACCAGGCCTCCACACCTGGAGTGAACCCCAGTGAAGCCACGTCTTCACGGAAATGCTCAGTAAGCCTGTCTTCAAGGACCCAGACTTGCAAGACCACAGTCAGGGTCTCGAATGCACCCTGGGGACATCTGCAATAAAAGCCCCAGAAAGCAAAGGTTGTTGCACATGCAGCTGCCACTTGCCCACATTCTTGGGAAGCGCCAGAGTAAAGAGGCAAGAGTGAAGTGGAGCAAATTGTGCAGAAAGCAATGAAAGACAGAGCTCACCTCCCACCAATTAAGCACATAGGATGAACCTTTGCCAAGACCCCAAGGAAAGAAGAGGGTTGTCAACCAGCCAGGATGAGCCCGAGACCTCATACCATAACCAAAAAAAAAAGGAAATGTACCCACACTCAAAAGACCCAGGATCCATCCTAGAAAAGAGGTCAGAATATTGCAGGAGATACTAAAGCAAATCCTTATTTACCAACAAAGGTGCAGTGCAGCATGATGGTAACCTTAGAAAGAAAGACAAAACAGGAGTTGCCAAGTGGATCCCAGAAACATACCCAATGGGAAGCAGCCTAACGATCCAACACATACATGGTAGCAGGATAAGAAAAAATGATCCCCCTCAACCTAAGATCTTCCATAGAGGAAACCAAGAACAAATCATGGCTGAAGAGCACCCAAGGGCACTCCTCAGGCTCCCCCTTAACCCTGGAAGCCTGCCACTAAGTCCCCAGGTAGAACAAAAGTCCCTGGCCAATACCATCGAGATGATGATGTCCTCCCAAGGAGAGGGCTTGGGGCCAGGAGGCAATTGTGAATGTAAGCACCTCTAAACCCCGGTAAGACTGGAAGGTGCAACTATCCCTGCTGCTGATGAGGAAGAGACCACCCCTTCTCTATTCAGCCTCAGAGACAAACCCAGAACATGCCAGAGAAGGTAACTCTGGCTCTGCAAGGGCATCATTAGCAGGCACAAAGGGAAGAAAACCCTGAGAACATGCAGCCCAAAATGGCCAAAGAACTAAGCCCACACGACAAGCCAAATTCAAAACACGCTTGTAAAGCAACAGTAAAATTGCAACCAATACAATAAAGCATATAGCCCCCACAGAACAAGAACAAGTCCAACGATGGCTAGAATTTAGCTTGAAGCTTTGGGTCTGGCCCAAATGCTGACATGACTGGAAACACTACAAGTTGTTGTGATACCAACATCAGGAATAGAACTGACTTGGGAATCCAGCTGGGAGTAGGGGGCTAGACTGCCTGTTATTAATTAGTCTCGAGTTTGTTTGAGTGAATCCATTGTTCCGTGTGACTTGTTGCCAGTACAGTAGTTTCTTTGGCGATTTTTTGAGGCTGTGTTTTCTGTGAAACCTCCAGTCCTCTGTAAAGCTGTGCTGACTTTCTGGAGGCTTTCTCTGGTGAGGTGGCAGATTGTCTCTGCACCATTGTAGGGGCCGGGTACTGACTCCGGTCCCCGCTAGGCCTAACAGAACTAGCCACAGCTGATGTAATCATTCAGTATGAGGCAATGTCAGAAAGATAGCTTCAGGGAGCCACAAGGAGCTCTCTCCAAAAAAGAACCAGCAATAGGAGGAAGATTACCTTAGCTCCTCTAACATTAGCATATCCATGGGCACCAAAGATCAACTTCCTTGGAGATGATTGCAATGATTTATGTACAAATGTATGAATAATATTCAACTATTAACTGATATTATATTTTGTTTGGCAATAAATCCTCAAATCAAATAAATCTCAGGATAAATAATACCCAAATTTGTAACAAAGTAGATGGAAAATTCCTTGGCGTCCTCATTGACCAGAGCTGAATTTCCAGGGACACATTCATAATATATAAAAAAAAGTTAAAAAAAAAAAAACTGTTGGCATTCTTTCTAAGATCAGATATTATGTACCCCGCCCTGCCCTGGTGACGCTCTATTACTCCCTCATCTATCCATATCTCAACTATGGTATTTGTGCTTGGGGTCCTACTACCCAAAGTCATTTATGTCCTCTAATTACTCAGCACAAAGCTGCTATTAGGACAATATCCAACTCTGGCCCCAGACATCACTCGGTGCCCCGACTCAAATCTCTGAATATGTTATAAATTAAGTCACTGCACATCCTCTCATGTGTATTATATATATAAAACGCTGAACTGTGATGCCAATCCTGACCTTAAAAGCTTCATTGAAGGTTGTAACAGAACCCATGAGCACCACACCAGAAACAAATACCTTTTTGATATTCCAAGAGTACGACTTAATCAAACTAGAAATGCTCTACAAATCAAGGTACCCAGAATGTGGAATGACCTTCCCAATCATGTTAAAGACTGTACCTCTCCCAACCAGTTTAAGATAAAAACTAAGCACTACCTAATTAACTCCCTGTAACCTACCTTACCCCTATAATGTCAACCCATGTCTGTTATTTTTAAACAATGCTGTTTGTTGACCAAATTGTATTTTTGCTGTTCTTTTGCCATGTAACCCCCTTTTTTATTTTTTTATTTTCTCAACACATTTTATACTTTAATCTCAATTATATGTAGTATTAAGTTTTAGTCTTTAGTGTTTTTCCTGCCCGAAACGCTTTGCGTAATAGTGGCTTTAGGCATTGTATGTACTAGCTCTATCTATAAATTCATCAATATTTGTATCACCCCTTGTATGTATGTACTTTACCTGAATAAACATTTGAATTTTGAATTTGAATTTGATAACAAAAGAGTGCTGCTTAAAATAAAGTATTCTTATAACAATAAATCATTAGTAGCTTTTATGTACAACATGTAACCTGGCTAAAACATAAAATAATGTACTGTGGTTTTAACTTTAATGATTATGGAAATGTGCAACACTATATGGATAAAATAATCCAACTCACCAAAGATACCCTTTTGGGATTATTGGAGTTTACACTCTGAGTGCTATGGGCTTCTTTATCACTGCCATTTCTTAAGTTTGTCTTCCTTATCACTGATTCAAAAGCTTGTCGTAGTCTGTAACAATAAAATATTAGTAAATACTTAATAACTGAGTTTGGAACATTTTATTTTCGCACACTTGTGGCAATAGTTTACAGGCATTTCTGTAAGGAGCCCCTACAGCTCCCTGGTGCTATCAGGCTAATGTGTAATATATTAGACTGGGGCATTAGTCTATGGAGTTCAGCCTACTGGGGACCACAAGGCAGAACGTGGCCCCCCCTCAGAGGTTCGGGGAGCAATGGCCCTGGAAAACCCCCCGTGATTGGGATTTTCCTTATCTGCCATCAACCGGGGTTGGCACCCAGAAAGATCTTCAGTCTTCTCCTCTGCTTTTTGTGTCCGGTCATTTTGAGGTGGGTTTATCACCATCTGTATGGTGATCAGGTGACTTCATTGATGGTGCCTGACCTGAAAGCTTCGTCTCGGCGACAGAAATGAAGTTTCCTGATGTTCTTTCTGCCATTTTCTCTCTCTTAGTAGGTTGTCTTCTATTTCTGATTGGGTTGTCTTGTCCTTTCTTTCTTGGCTTGGCCATTTTTAGGGTGAGTCACAGAGGCTCCCTGGCAACCTTCCCTCCCTCCGGTTGGCGGTTTTTCGCATTTTGAGGCTTAGCTTCCAAACTGGAGGTCTGAGTAGCCGGCGCAGCCCTCCCCTCCCTAAAGAAGGGAGGGGAGGGCTACGCAGATGAGCGACGCGGCGGTGGAGTGTGATGTTTCCTTGTTTCCTTGGGACTGAAGGGAGTTCTGCCTCTCTGTTCAGTTTTCATTGTTAGTTTCTTACCATGTGGGGTTTGTTTTGTTAAGCTTACCTTTCTGGGTGCCTAGCCCCAGTCGATGGCAGATAAAGAAACTTCCCCCAACCACAGGTGGGGTTTTCCAGGGCCATTTCTCCCTGAAACCTCTCTGAAGGGGCAAGGTTCTGGCTCGTGGTCCCTGGTAGGTCAAATTCCATAGCTAATGCCCCGGTCTAATAATATCACACATTAGCCCGATAGTTCCAGGAAGCCTCCAGGGCTCACCAAGAAAATGGTATTTCATTACATTCAACGCTGGTTTTTTATCGGCCTGCAGTTGTGAATGGCTTTATAACCAGCTAAGTTATATAGATGGGTATTGTCTTTACTTAGCCATGTTTCTGTTAAAATAATGAATGTAGTACCTAGTGCTTCTAGTAGTGTATTTATATCATTAAAATATTTATCAAGTGATCTGACATTTTGGTTGAAAACAGATAGACTAGTGTTATTTTGGAGTTTTGTTTATTTGGATGGTTTGTTGTGTAGTAACTGCAGCAGTGATGATTATTGTGCTGGTTATCGTAAATGTGTGATAGCAGATTTAATTCGGGGTCAAAGTGAGTGAGAAATGAGAAGACTGTTTAATGATACTGTATTCAGATTAGAATATGAGGGAGGTTAGTGACAAAAGGATGAAAATTTAATAATTGTTTACAATACTCAAACAAAAATGTTCTTGAATACAAAGTACTGCAGTTAAATTTAAAAATAATAAAATGGAAATATAAAAATGAGACAACTGATAACTAATTTTACTGAGAGAATGTATAATGCCTGGGTTTTTATTTATATAAGTAAAACTGTTTACATATAAGTAAAACAGGAATCAGAACAGAGTGAAATTGATTATTAAGTTAATTGTAATTCCAAGAATAGATGGTAAGATTTAATTTGTTAAGCTTCTAGGATACGGGCATTAGATACAATAAAATAAGTAATTACAATGCAGTAAAATATAAAATCAAGAAACAATTACAGTAAAAATTTAATTTATAAAAATAAAGTACAGTAATACAGCATTATAAATGAAACTAAACTGATATCTAATATCATTGAATAAATATAAATGTCTTGAGCTTATTACTGATATAAGTGGAGGTAGGTAAGTGTAAGTACAAAATAAATATCTGAAACAGATAATAATAATGCAGCTGGACTTCAATATGCAGTATAAACTGGTAAAATGAAAATGGAGTAAACAAAACACTCAACATTATTGGATAAACATTACATTCAACACTGGGTTTTTACAACTTCAATTTGGTGCAAAATTGGTAGGAGGCGGCACTGCAAGGGGTCCTGGTAGTACAGTCGGATTCGTTCTCGACGCACAATTGAGAATTCCGGGTTTGAATCCCGGGTGGGACAGAAATGATTGTGCACATTTCATTTCACCTAATACCTCTGTTCACCTATGAGTAAGCAGGTACTCAGGAGTTAGTCAGCTTGTTGTGGGGTTGCATCCTGGATGGGGGTCAGTAATTCGACCTCGGGGAGATGGGGGCAGGGGGGGGGAACCTTGATATAAGCCAAACGTGTATGAATACACCCTGGCTTTCTGTCCCCCCACACAATGAATTGTAAAAAATATTTTTTATGATAACTAGACATAAATTGAATAATTTGTTATATAAATTAGAAATTAGATGCTATTATGATAGCTCAGTGCATTATAAGTAAATTTAGTTAAAATTTGTATCAGATTCTGATTTTCTAAAATGATGACAATACTGTATGTAAAATATAAAAAAAATTCAATTTATGTTACAATGCTGAAATTTTTACAAGTAGGAGGCCTTATCAATTTGTCAAAAAAGTCTATTTAAGATTTAACGAACTTTACAATCAAATATCCTGCACTGCCCCCGATCCCTAATATGCAGAGCATTTTGAGAGTACAGTAATGTAAAAATAATTAGGATAATAACATACATTTAATAAAAGTAACACTAAAAATAAATGAGAACATTTTTGAACTTGTGAAGAGATTTAGAAAATAATTGACAGTTTCTTAAAGTGATATTTATAAACTGCAGTTTTTGCAACAATACAGACTTACTTGGAGTCCCCAGCATGGACTGTAGCATAAGGGGTGTGTTGTGGGGAAGCAATGGGTGATGATGCTGTAGGGTGAAGAATAAAACTATTGGTCTTTTTCAAAATAGATTTTGGCATGGTATTCCTTCTAAAAGTGTTGTCTCTGTCAAGCGTAGGCTCTGATGCTGCTGGGATCTGCAAGGTGACTTAACAGTTAAACTGCTAAATGTGAGTACAGTATTAAACTCAACTTTTTATACTAGTAAACATGCAAAAGCAACAAACTATATACTGCGGCAAAATATGAAGTATGAATGTGCAAGTTACATGTTTGTTGTTTGTAACTTTTATAATTGTTAAGAAAATGAAGGTTTAAATATATAAGACTATATGGCTTTTTCCTATCCAAAAAAGCTGTTCCCTTGAAAATGGCACACATATATTATCTGATTTCCAATTGCAAATACCTTTTGTTTGGATGGTGCAATGTCACAATGATGATATGAGATTTTAGTGTTTATGCATGCTGAACATCATATTATTACATTATTATTATTATTATTATTATTATTATTTGACCAGACCACACACTAGAAGGTGAAGGGATGACGACGTTTCAGTCCGTCCTGGACCATTTTCAATCGACTTGAGAATGGTCCAGGACGGATCGAAACATCATCGTCCCTTCACCTTCTAGTGTATGGTCTGGTCAAACTACTTCAGCCACGTTATTGTGACTCATCTCCTGCATTATTATTATTATTATTATTATTATTATTATTATACTGTGCAGATATTATATTGTAGCTAATGCCACAGAAAATATTCAAGCATCCCTCAGCTGCTTTAAAAATAAGTGGAATATACCTACTCCAGCCCAGAAATAACAATTGGATCCTTCTACAAAAATTAAAACCCTCTTAGGTTCGTACTCTGAATGAACACTCTACACCAGTGTTTATTAGCACTTGAACAAGTGTGACTAGCACATCCGCTCATTAACATTACACCCCCCCATGGGGAGGAAGGGGAAACCGTCAGCCCACCACTCTAGTTCTTGAATGATGAAAAACCACCGACCGGAGGGAGGGTGCCAGGGAGCCTCTGGGGCTCACTCAGAAAATGACGTTTCATTACACTCAATGATGGTTTTCTGAGGGGAGCCCCCATCAGCTCCCTGAAGCTAACTACCCAAAGATAAGTAAAAGGAGGGACTTACCTGGGAGCAGGGATGCCAGATTTGAGTTGCCGAAAGTCGCGAGCTGAAGAACTAAATGTCACAAACTTTACTATAAAAGTAGCCAAATATTTTTTTCCCCCCGATTGATTCTCTTTTCAAAATACACAGCCCAGCTTATTTTTAACAGTAGCCGAAAAAGTAGTAAGTAGCGGCATGCATAGCTGGCTTTTTAATTGTAATACAATTATCTTAATTGGTAACCGAATTGGGCTACAAGTAGCCCAATCTGGCATCCCTGCCTGGGAGGTGGCAGCACTGCAGGTTTCAAGACAAAGAAGCGACAGATGGCTGTGACAGGCACCCTAAAGCCCCACACAGCCGGGAAGAACCCCAGAATGTTCATCATACCTGGTGGCTACGACCCTGTTCGACCTCCAAAACCCTCGCGCCCAAATGTCTACCCAAGATATAATACCAAAAACATCGGCCAGGGCAGCATACTTACGCACATCATAGTTACGAGGGTAGACCATAGGCTGGCTAGACTTGATAACCATGCAGACAACCTGAAAGACACACGCCCTGGAACAGGAAACCAGGGGAATCAAATCAACCCAGAGCGTGTCCCGTGGTACTGAAGCAGTGGCCCGCAGGTAGTGGCGTAAAGCTGCCACCGGACACAACACGTGATGCACCCCCAGTCTAACCAACCATGCATCCACAACCAACGAACCCCTCCGGAAGCCTGCCATCTCATTCTTCGGCAGAAAAGAAGAAGGCTGCAAATGAACAAAATGACCACTTGAATCAAACGAACAGAACCCCCCGCATCAAAGAAGAGCATGAAATTCCCCAATCCGATCCCCAGAGGCCAAGGCCAACAAAATCAAGGCCTTCCAAAAGCAATCTTGAACTGAAGGGGGCCACAACAAAGTGAAGAGAAGAAAGGAAAGAAAAGAAAGGAAAGAAAAGAAAGAATACGGTCCAAAAACCAAGAAGGCTCAGGAGGCACATGAGCAGGCCGGAGGTGAAAAAATGCACGTGAAAGCTTGCGGAACGGAGTGTAAGTAACATCCACCCCGAATGCAACATTAAGCGGGTCTGCCAATGCTGCAGAATAAGAAGCGACAGTGTGTATTAGGCATAAGATCTTCCTTCCCACATGGGAACGCAGTGGGGCGCGTACGGAACCAAGGTCAAAGCGACCAATGCCCCTAAATCCTGGTCCCGAAACCGAAGCGGAGCAGCTCCAGATCGAGCCTCCAACCAGCCAACCAATCTGGCTTGTTGCAATAAGGAGAATTGAGCATGCAACGCAGCTGCCGCTTGTTTCCTGAGATCAACGGACAAGGAATGAGGAATTTGAAGTACAAGCAGGGGGGAACAAGACCTGCAAGACTCCGGGTTGAAGGTGTCACCTGACCCAACAGGCAGCAAGGTGGAGGCAGAATGGATGATCATCACCCAGAGGCAGGGGCGACGAGCAACCTATGAATTCACACAAGGCGAGAGCAGACTTGGAAGAGGTACAACTGAACCCGCTTGGGTTTTCCAGGGCCTGAAGGGAGAATGAACCCTACAGGAAGCCCAGGCATTGAGGCCAGCTAAGCCAGTAAACCCTGTCAATGTAGGCAATCCGACAGCAAGCAGCCAGAGAAAAGCCTCTGGTGCAACAGAGGAGGACCATGACCACACCCTAGGCAAAGCAGAATCAGGTGAAAAGCAGAACTCCTCCACTAAAAATGGCAAAAAACATGGGAAAAAGTGAAATCATAATACAACCCTCCCCCCCCCCCCCCAAAAAAAAAACCTTCACAACAGCAAACAAGCAGTCAGAGAGAAACATCGGCCTACCATCAATAGCTGAAAAGCAAGCTGCACCAGCCACATTACACCCTACCAGCTAACAAACACACTCCTACCCAGGACAAAGCGGAGCACCCTAAGGCCCCCGACGCACCCCATGAATGAAGACACCCACAAGTGAGGAAGTCCTCTAAAGGGGAGTAATTCCTGAATGCCCTAGGGAAGATAACCCTGAGACGCAATTAAGAGCAGAACTTATGGAGCACCTAGGGAAGGTGGCCCTAAGCGCATGCTACTTCAGTTCTCAAAACTCCTGGCTACTCGCACACATTCATTTAAAACGGGAACATGAAGCCAAAGTGACAGCAACCATTCAGCATGGCAAAGAACTGATTGGGGTGGCCTGACTTACCCAGGCTGGCTCTCCCTCCCCCCCCCTGCCTGCAGTGAGGGGTGGTGCTAACAAACGGGGAGGGTTAGTTAGGGAAAGTTTTGCTTGTTTATTTGCTTTCTGGGGAGTTCTTTAAGCTTTTGAGGACATAGGTTGCAATTTTCAACCAGGCAGTGGTCTGTTTTGTTTTGCCTACCTTTTTGGGTGCTTTCCCTGGTCGATAGCAAGATGGCAAGCCCCTGAAAAGATTGAAAAGTGAAAAAGACAACAACTTTCAAGCACTAGACTGGAAAACCAGTAAACCAAGGAGAATCCTTGAACCAACCAGGTAGGTAAGCTGGAAGGACTACCTCGAGGTGTCACAGCAAGGTCGCATGACCCACAGGATGTCCCACCAGCCAAATATCACTTCTGACCCAAGGAAAGACAAACCGTCCAAGACAACTAGCTTACCTGAAGGGTGAGGGTCACCATAAGTGAGGAGGTCACCCTAAAGGGGAGGTAGGGAAAACTAGGTTTGCACTAGTTTCATGAATGTTCAACTGTTTGTTTACATTGTCGAGGGAGTTCTTTTGGCTGTTATGAGGCTACAGCTTCGTTTTCTAACAAGCAGTAGTCTGTTTTGTTTTGGTAACTTTCTGGGTGCCTTATTTGGTGTTGGCAGACATGAATAAATTGACAAAATTTTTCATAGTGCCACTGTTCCCAGTGCCTCTCTGAGGGGGGCCAGGTTCTGGCTCGGGTCCCCAGTAGCCCATTAAGAATTTCACGGCTGATGGCACCTTGTAGTCTGGCAATATATATGTATAGTAGCTTCAGTGAACCACAAGGGGTTTTCACAAGAAATGTGTTCCATCACTTGAATCAGAAACTATAAAATAAACTGACAATAAATGGCAACACATGGTAAAACTCTGAGTCAGAATTCTAAGAGCCCCAGCAGGGTGTTCATAAAGCATCTGCTCAGTACATTTATTTTTAATTTTGTTCATTAACACATGAATTTACAATGGATTATTTGGTTCTTAATTCCTTTATGACCTGTGGACTACCTATAATTGGTGAACCGTTTTTGGGGACATGAAAACTCAGACTTTTCAAAGTCTCAAACAAATGTTGTCCATGAACTCACTCATCCAGTTACAGTCCAGACCCATCATATAGTTTAATTGTTCTTCGATATTCCCTTGCTTTCGACTTACCTCCATAGCGTCTATTTGTAGAGCAATTGAAGATTCATTTTCTTTGGAAGGAGTTTCAATCTTTGTAACCTCAAATCTGGAAGGTCTTCGTTCTTGTTTTCCTAAGACCTCCATCATGTCTGTCATGATAACAGGCAGTGGAGCAACAGTGTTGGGGGTAGATATTGTAGTAGCAGTGCTACTGATGGCAGAGGCAGAAGTTGATGGTACTTCTAGAAAAATTGATGGGGCTGCTGGAATATTTGATGATGGGATTATTGATGGTGGTGCTGGGATCATTGATGGTGCTGGGATCACTGATGGTGGTGCTGGGGTCACTGATGCTGGTGCTGGGGTCACTGATGGTGGTGCTGGGGTCATTGATGGTGGTGCTGGGGTCATTGCTGGTGGTGCTGGCACTGTTGGGACTGTTGATGGTACCAGCAATGAATCATTTTCATCTGATGATAAAACAGTACTTTATTAGTGATTGATAAAAACTATATACAGTCAGGCAGTAGAATACTTCAATGCAAATATATAAAGTGCAACAACATAACAGCACATAATAGTACAATTTAAAAAAAAAAGCATTGAATGTAATGAAATGCCATTTTCTGGGTGAGTCTCGGAGGGTTCCCGGAGCTTACCGGGCTGATATGTATGTATTAGACAGTGGCATCAGTCAATTCTATTAGAGTTCTATGCCTACCGGTGACCACGAGCAAGAATCTGGCCCCATTAGAGAGGCACTAGGAGCAATGGCCTATAAAAACCCCCATGTGGTTGGAAACATTTCATGTCTGCCACTGACCAGGTTAGGCACCCAGAAATGTAGGCATCCTAAACAAACACCACCTGGTTAAAAATTGCTACCAAAAATCGAACTATCAAGCAGAGCTCCTAATCCGAAAACAAGCAAACAAGCATGACGTCACAACCGCCGCCAAGACGCTGTCTGCTCAGCTCCCCCCCCCCTCCCTGGGAGGGGAAAGGGGGAGCCCAGACCCCAATGCCAACCATCCAACACCTAGTTCTGAGGCTGAATATCAAAAACACGAATACTGCTGACCGGAACACAACATAAAAATTCTGTTTATTCTCTTTATAACCAACAGAAGGATCATCTTCACCTCTATAAACCATAATAACTGTGGGTAACATATGCCAGCACAAACCTGTCTTGTTGGTATTATAAATTTGCTCAGGAGATAAATTTTTGTCTGGCACCATCTCTGCAAATTTTCTTAAATATTCTTCTGCACCAGCAGCATCAGCAGATTTCCTCTCACTATGCACTTTAAAGCATATAATGCCATGGTGAAGTTTAAAGCTTTTGAGCCATCCATTAGTCTATGAGCACTGCTCAAGAATTTTCACCGATTTGTGAAATTTTCAAACCTTTTCCATGAGCAGCCAGCCTACTGCTGGCTTTTTTGCCTCCTTTTGCTTCTGCTCATACCACTGCCACACTGCATTTTTTATTTACTTGCTGTATTCCTACTACATATTGCTTTATCACTTTCACTTCTACAAAAATAGTCAAAGATATAGATTTAGTCTTAATAATTTCTGAAAATGTAGTCTTGCTAACTTCATATTCAGCATTCACAACGCTTCTCGAGATTCCACTCTCCACCTTCTTAATTAGTTCAACTTTCTTCTCAAATGTCAGCAATGTCCTCCATTCCCATCCGTAGAAGCTTTCACCGACACAATGCGTGCATTTTGACCTGACATAGTGCATGGATGGTTGTATATTTTGACGATATATCCAACAGTCATGGAATGAACGTTTCACTGTCTAGTGACACATCAAAACAATGAGACATAAATCTGTGACATCACATGGGTAGAAGGAACCAAAGTCATGCCTGATGGACAAACTAGGCCCATCTCACACCCACACCCCCGTAGCTGCCTACTACCACCAAGCAGCGAAGCCTAGTAAGCACACACACCTCACCGCTTAATCGCACATTTTTATTCAGACAAACCCAAAACAGATAACAAGGAATATCTGGATAAGTGGCATCCAGAAAGCATGTGGGTTATTTGTATCTACAGTTTTAAGCAGCGCAATGAACCATTAAACAGTTCTGATGGGTGTGATATTCTCTATTGTCTACCTAGCACTAGTATACCTCAGTGGGGTGATTTTTAAAGGTTACTTGAGGTGCTTCCGGGTAACCTTTAAAAATCACCCCACTGAGGTATACTAGTGCTAGGTAGACAATAGAGAATATCACACCCAACAAGGTTCCTCATCAAGTTGGTGTGGAATGTGGAATGTTGTGTCATGGAATGTCAAAATACCTTACTGTTGCTGTTCCCATCCAAAATATTTTGAATTTGAATTTGAAGTGAATAGGATCTTGCTTTAGGGAGCAACCAAGAGGGATAAGAAGGTATAGTATCTAAATAAAAACAAATAATCCCCAAAGGAGCCAGCTTACCTGCACCCATTCCAGCCATGAGTGTCAAGCTGCCTGATGGTACTGTGGTAGGCTTTCTCTTTATTGCCTCTTCAATGTCAAGAAGCCGTTGTTTTGCCCTTTTTCTTTCATTTTCATGTTGGTTCTCTCCCATCTCGTGCAGTTGCTCAGCTTCAAGAACTCTGTTAAGGCATGAAAATCTAGTAAATGTCTTTCATGATATAATTACATTACAGGGATGTCAAGTTTAAATATTATTTTTGTATTAAATTATTACTGTACAGAATTTACTTAAATCAAACATTTTAAATTCAATCATGAGAGTTTAAAGTGTTAATTTTATTAATAAGTGATAAAATCAACACAATATGACACATAAAACATGTTAAATATGCCATAGCTATGTTCTAAATGAAGTACAAATTAAAATAAGTTTAATAAGCGATTTTTCAGGAATGAGTACTGTACTAGAAAAATACTAAACAATAAACTGATTATTTATTCCAAAAATAAAAATGATATCTTAATTTGGACGATGTAAAAAATTTATGACACATATTTCATGCAAGATATCCAATAATAATGGACAAATAATGATAGAAACTTTGTACCGTGCACAAGAGTATGTGCAGAAAACCATCTATATATTTCTAGCCTTGTAAAATAAGCCCAGCCATTATTCTAGAAACATTCATAAGCTGCATTGGCAAATATCCATCTACAACAAGACAACTACACACAAATAATGTCTACCTACCCACAATATGTATTACGTCTCCGGACCATTGGTAGTCTAATGACCAGATGAAATAAAAGTAAATAATCAGAAAATCACAGTAAATTACTGTCCACTAGTCAGTTCCAACAAACAACCACACTCAGGAAGAAGTCAAATGTATTTATTAAATATGTAAATCAAGAAATACAGTACATATGCTCAAAATTCTCTAAAAATAACATGGCCACTCATTTTGCCTGCATAATTATTTGAAAGAACCAGCACTGAATGTAATGAAAAGCCAATTTCTGGGTGAGCCCCAGTGCCTCCCTGAAGCTATACACTGAGATAGTTCTTATCTACCAAGTCACATCAGCTGTTGAATTCTTTTGGCTTACTGGGAAGCAGAGCAAGAACCTGGACTACCATCACAAAGGCACAGGGTCCAGTGACATTTTGCTATCTCACCGAGGAAGGCATCCAGAAAGTCAGCGAGTCAAAACAAACCACTGCTTGGTTCAAAACACTGAAACCTCGAAACCCAACTAATGAACTCCCAACTAGGTAAAAAATGACCAAGAGGGGGGGGGGGGGGGGGGAAAGAGGCTCACCACCTTCCAGAGGTCTGAGCAGGCAGTTCTGGGGCAGATGCACAAACAAACACACCCGACGACCTGGAAGGGAAGGGGGGAAATATCAGGGAGCCAAAGGGCTCACCCAGAAATTGGTGTTTAATTATAGTTAATACTGGTTTTTTGAGGCCAATGTGGCTTCCTGAAGGTAACTACCCTTGGAGAAGGAAGAACCCATGGAAACTTACCAATGAGGACAAAGCACAGCAGGAATTGAAAAAATTAAGAGATTCCCAGACAAGAGGCACGATCCAAGGCCACAGAAGGATGCTGAGGCCTGGGAAACATTCATCAAATGCAAGACTACCAGAACCCTCTTTAACCTCCCAAACTAATGAACCCAAATATCAACCCAAGACATGTTCATGAACACAGCCAAAATAGAGGCATACTTTTTAACATCAAGGGCATGAGGGTAGATCATAGGCTGGCTATATAACAATACTGCAGACCTGAGATATACAAGCCTTGGAACTGGGAACCAAAGAAACAAGATCAACCCACAAAGCATCCACTGAAGCAAAACCGCGGGCACTATGGTAGCACTAGAGAGCTGCCAATGTACACAGCGTATGATGTACCCACAGCTGAACCAACCAAGTATCAATAACCAAAGGACCCCTCTGGCAGCCAACCTACTTGTTCTTTGCCAAAAAAGAGCTTGTAGAAAATAAAATGCCCACCAGGGCCAAAAGAACAGAAACTGCTCTTCCAGAGGAGAGCATGAAGCTCCCAGGGCTGACATCCAGAGACAAAGGAAACCAAAAACAGTCTGTGATTCCTTACAGAAGGAATCATGGACTAAAGGGGATGCCATAAAACAAGAAGAGGAAAGAAAAGCGAGAACTTGGTCCAACTACAATGCAGGCTAAGGCAGCGCTTGAGCAGGCCAGAGGTGAAACAAGGTACAAGACAGATTGCAAAATGAGGTGAAGATAGGAGCGACATTGAATGCATTTTGAGGTTATCTTGAGATGATTTCGGGGCTTTTTAGTGTCCCCGCGGCCCGGTCCTCGACCAGGCCTCCACCCCCAGGAAGCAGCCCGTGACAGCTGACTAACACCCAGGTACCTATTTTACTGCTAGGTAACAGGGGCATAGGGTGAAAGAAACTCTGCCCAATGTTTCTCGCCGGCGCCTGGGATCGAACCCAGGACCACAGGATCACAAGTCCAGCGTGCTGTCCGCTCGGCCGACTGGCTCCCTGCAGCAGCTCTGAAAATACGAGTGCTGTTGCCTCAAATTTGAGGTCAGAGTCAATGACCGCCCCAGATTGCATCAGGAAACGATCTGAAGGTGTGAGTAGCTAGCGCGGGGTGGGACCAAAGCTCTCCTTCACCCCTCCCGGGAAGAAGAGGGCTGCGCAGACAAGTGGTGTGGTGGCGGTGTGTGACGTTTGCTTGTTTCGTTAGATTGGGGGAGTTCTGCCTCTCTGTTTGTCCTTCAATTGCAATTTTTTCTTATCATGTGAGATCTGTTTTGTTATGCCTACCTTTCTGGGTGCTAACCCCGGTCAGTGGCAGACATGGAATGCCCCAAGTACAAGGAGGTTTCCATGGGCCATTGCTCCATTTGCCTCTCTGAGGGGGGGCCAGGCTCTGACTCGTGGTCCCTGGTAGGCTGAACTCCAATTGACCTCCCTCCCTCCCTCACCGCCTTACTCCCTCACCGCCTTCCTCTCTCACCGCTTCCCTCCCTTACCGCCTTACTCCCTCACCGCTTTCCTCCCTCACCGCCTCCCTCCCTCCCTCACTGCCTCCCTCCTTCCCCGCCTCCCTTCCTCACCACCTTCCTCCCTCACCGGCTCATTTCCTCACTTCCTCCCTCCCTCACTGCCTCCCTCATCACCATCCTCCCTCACCATCATCCTCCCTCACTGTCTCCCTCCCTTACCATCTCTCTCCTTCTCTGCCACTCTCCCTCACTGCCACTCTCCATCACCACCTCTCTCCCTCCCTCAATGCCTCTCGCCCTCACTCCCTCCCCTCCCTCAGATTGGTATCTAGCATGGTGGGGATATAAATCTTTGTTTACAGTTACTGACATCCTTTGTAACCATCACACACAAGCCATTTATAATTACAAATGGCGCCTCGAGAGGATTAAAAAAACTATTGCATACAGTATACTATATACAGTATGCCTTTTCTAAGGTATATAAAGATACAGTATGATTCATTATTGTATAGTTTAGTAGTACTGTATATAACAATGAAATATTCTTGATTTATATTACTACAAAAATGCATAACATTAATCCCGCCTGAAGGCATCGCCTGTTGCAACGAATCCCTCACCCCCACGAACTGGGGTTGGTCCCATATAGTTCGCCGAATCGAGGTTGCACTGTAAGCATTTACTTATATATACCTGAGGGCCACTATCTCTGATAGTCTTCTTGATTTGAGATTCTTAATATGTTTTGCAAGATAGATAATGAACAGCAAAGGAAGAAAATGACTATTGTACATTATACAGCATACTGTATATATATATCTATCTTACAAGAGTTAAATTATATACTGCAAACAATTGCCAAATATGAAGTAAACATTAATCTTACTTTTGTGCTGCAAATTTCCACTTATTGATGACTCTGAGTCGCCGATCCTTGCCTAGATGTTCCTCCAGCATGGATATTAGCTCTGACCTCTGTATTGATCCCAGGAGAATCATGGAGTCTGCAACACCACATATTCAAAAAATTTAATATTTAATATACGGTTATTTGGGAATCCTTACAACTAATGAACACTGGAAATTAAACTTAATAGTTGTTGTCAGATTGAAAGAGAATTCAAACTTGTACCAATATAATCTTTAAATTGTCTATAAAAGATATGTAAAATAAAACATATGTGATACTTTACCTGGAGAATCGACTAGGGGTAGTGATCTTATTTTTTTATGCTCTTTAAGAATGTTCTTCAGTTCCCGATATGCGATACCATACCAAATATATTTTACATCCCGCACCATGAAGTCTTCAACATAAATATTATAGGCACCAGAAGTGGCCGTTAGAATATCAGGTAGATAAGGTAGTTTCTTAATCTGGATGATAGAGTCATAAATAGATGGCTGAAGGAGTTGTGCAATGCCGTTTGCAATAAGCACAGCAATCTGTTGAACAAAAGAATTGTATCATAAACAAGTTTTTAAGAGAGTAAAGAGAGCAAGTGTAATTTATATCATATACACAATTCAATCTGGGGAAGTGCAGAGAAAAATAAATTATATAGAGTGACAAACAACTAATGGGAAGAAACTACAGTCATTCTGCTTCAATGATACTAATTAAAAAGACTCAAACCAGTGCATGAAGTAAATGATGCAGCCAATATAAACAATTACAGACCAATATCAAATCTACTTATATAAAAAACAACATTAAATGTAATGTAATAGAAATGCCAATTTCTAGGCAATCACCCAGTGCCCCCCATGAAGCTATATGCTGAAATTGTTACAATCTACTGAGTCACATCAGCCACAGAGTTTTGAAGGCCTACTGAGGGCCGGAGCCAGAACCCAGCCCCCCCCCCTCACAGAGGCGCAGGAGCAGCGACATTAATTTTTGCCACCTCATCAGGGAAAGGAACCAGAAAGTTATAGAGTCAAAAGAAACTACTGCTGGATTCAAGAGAAAATGAAGCCTCAAAACTAGCTGGAAGAATTCCCCTATGTAAACAAATGATCTAATTCTCTTGGAACTAAAGTGAGTTCGTTCGTCCTGCCTTCCCCATTTGTTTGTGGGAAAGAAGGGAGGTAGCCCACCAACTGCCAGTGCCTGAGCTCCCAGATCTAGGGAGATCTGGAAGCTGGAACACCTCTTTCTAGAGAAGCCCCAGTGACTCCCTGATTCCCCAGTACCTCCAGGTTCATTTGTTCAGTGTAGGTTGTTCAACAGCTCTAGAACTGAGATGGGGAGTTGACCGAGCTGATGGTGTGCTCCCTGGTGACGGCAATCGGTACTAATGAGTTTCGAGCTAATTTGGGTAAATCCCTTGTTCTGTGTGAATTATTTGTGGTGGTTTTGAGGTGTATGGAAGTTTTGAGGCTTCATTTTCTGTGAACCCTCCAGTTCTCTATTAGGCTTTGCTGACTTTCTGGAGGCCTTTTTCATTTAGGTGGTGGATTGTCACCCACTCCTTGTGCTTCTGTGAGGGGTTCCATGTTCTGACTCTCATCCCGGGTAAACCAAGCAGAACTCCCGTGACTGATGTGAGCTTTTTGAATGGCACAATCTCAGCAAGATAGCTTCAGGTAGCCACCGGGGCTCCTCCAGAAAGAGGCATTACTGTAATTACATTCAGTGCTGGGTTTATTGATTGTTGTTTTACCTGTTCTTTTTTCCTTCATGGTGCTTATTTTTGCCATCTTCGTTGTTGAAATATAGGACTGAGGAACAAGTGTAGGTAACACACTGAACTTATGTTTACCAGCTTTCCATATGCTGCTGATCTTATTATGTGTTCATGTGTTTTTGGTGTTACTACTTACAGTAGGAGTTTATCATGGCTTCTATCTTAGCACAAAATAAAAATAAAAAAAGGAATGAAGAGTTGACAAGACTTACCATAACAGGAAGGATGTGAGTAATCTGGCCTGTGAGTTCAAAGACAATAACTGAAGTAGAGATGGTGTGGGTGACGGCGCCAGCCAGAGCTGCTGCACCCACAATTGAGTAACCACCTGTTGGAATGACATTTATTGCTTATTTGATACAAATTATGTTTAATTTTAATTTGCATACATAATATATTGATACAACTTGCATGATATTGTAAAGGGTGCTCTTGTCACTGCAAGACAGAATTGGTGAGGACTCTGAGCAATTTATTACACTCTGCAATTATTGCCTTAGCAACTGACCTGGAATAATGATGTGATTGTGGCCACCATAGCGCAAGCCATTAGGGAATGTGGAAGCCATTATCTCACCAACAATTCTGCCTACAGCAGCTCCAGTCTTAAACACTGGGATGAAGAGACCTGATGGAACTGGGAGGGTGCTGCATATCACACACCCAAAGAACTGAGAACATATAAAAAGTGGGATCAATAAGGATCACAATTTATAGGAAACTTTGCAATAATACTTAACAAAAAATAACTGACTAATAAAGTTAATTTAGGCACCACAAAATTTTGTTTAAATTCCCATCTCATAGAAAAGTGTGATGTAAACTACCATTGATTTACCAAAGATCATTCTGCAAGACTTACTGTAAATGCTGAGTATATAATCAGGCTGACAAAGATCCCCGTCCATGGTGTTCTCCAATTCTCAACAATTGTAAACTCCTGGACTGTGTGAACCTCCTTGGTCCATGTGATGTTACTAAACAATTCTATTACCTTGGGGAAAGGGAAGAGACACTTCAATTTGCAAAGAAATTGTGTAAGGTTGAAAAGTAATTGAAAATAGCACAAGTAAAGTACAACAAATTATTTTTAATTTGCAGATTTAATAATTGTTTAACAAATAAAATGATAGCTTCCAAGATACTTGTGATTGTGAGGTTTAGTTTCCAGCTTCTGTGCACTATAAATACAGTAATTTTCAAAAGATGCCAAGCCAGGAAGACTATGTAGCATCAGCTAGATATTGAAAAGGTGCTAAATACCACTCAAAATGCCAATACAAACGAGAACAGAAGGACATAACGGGGATGATATAAAAGGCATTGATTCACCAAAAATTCTATTAAGGGGGATATTTGTCCCCTCAATAGAATCTTTGGGGATTTGTTCCTAGGGGTCCTTAGGGAAGAAATGTTCCCTAGGAACATTAGGAAAGCAAGACATAAGATCATCCAAAAAATCAGGGCATTCTACAAGGGGGTAATTACCTGAGTATAGTTACAGGATGAGAGCTACACTTATGGTGTCCTGTCTTCACTGCATTTTGTCATAGAACATTTAGACACTAGCTCGGTTTTTGCCTCACCACCTTCCCACTTAGCTTGTTCCAACCATCTACTACTATGTTTGCGAAAGTGAATTTTCTTATATTTCTTCGGCAGGCAGCTATGTTCAGCTAGCTTATATCTATGACCGCTTGTTTTTGAAGTACAAGATCTCAGAAATTCTTCCCTATCAATTTTATTGATTCCTGTTACTATTTTGTATGTAGTGATCATATTGCCTCTTTCTTCTATCTTTGGCATTTTTAATGCCTTTAACTGCTTCTCGTAGCTCTTGTCTTTCAGTTCCATGGGCCATGTAGTAGCATGTCTTTGCACCTTTTCCAGTTTGTTGTGCTTCTTAAGATATGAGCACCATACAACTACTGCATATTTCAGCTTTGGTCTCTTAAAGTTCATGAACAATTTCTTTAATATTTCACCACCATGTATTTAAAATTATATTTGGAATTGAAAAGCATACCACAGGCTCATATAATGTTCTTTATGGGGTTTTCATGTGATAGTTTTATACAGTATCTAGAATCACCTAGATCTCTTTCTTTGTCAGAATTTTGTAAAGCTTTTTCACATACATGCAATTTGTAGGTTGCGTGTGGTCTACTTTCTCCTATTCCACGTTCTATTACATGACATTTATTCACGTTAAATTCCATTTGCCTAGTTGTGGTCCATACATTTATTTTGTCGGAGTCTTCTTGAAAGGCATAACAATCATCTAGGTTTCTTATCTTCCATAGTATCTTAGCATCATCAGCAAACACATTCATATAATTCTGCAGGTCGTTTATTCTGCAGGTCGGTTGTTTATGTAGACATTGAACATTACCGGTGCAGGAACTGAACCCTGTGGTACTCCATTCGTGCCATTTCTCCAGTTCGATGTGTTGCCTTTGACTACTGCTCTCATTTTGACTATGTGCATGACTATGTGGGACAATGTAGTTCAAACAAAAGTGAGCAGGAGATTATTTGATTAAGAGACTATGGGTTAAGCAGGTGAAACTGATATGGAACCTAGCCACACCATTTCCCATTGCCTATTATGGTGGTAGGAGGAAGGCAAAGGGGAAAGGTCAATTTTAGAGCATGCAGTTTATTATTAATAACACCACCCCAACAACCCTGGGAATGGATGCAGATTGCAGAATGAATGCCTAGATAGAAATCTGAATAACGAATCCCTTTCCGGGGAAATGGTGGAAGCATGAATGGCCTTCCTAGATGTGATGTCCACAAGTTCATGTGATATAACTCTAATATGGCTGGGAACCCAGCACATTTGGCTCACACATCTGCCAGAAATAAGAAACAGTTTGTTTTGGATGTCAACCACCACAGGATGCACAGAGTTCAACATGAAAGACTTGAGTACCATGAGAGGACTGCAAGAGTCAACCACAATGACAAAGTAACAGTGTGCAGCAAAATCAGCTGATCAAGAGCATACAAAAATTGTATACACTTCTGCTGTGAAGATGCTAGTCACCCACCCTCTCGGCCTGACTCCCTGCTTGACTCCCTCCTTTCCTGGTTGTGATGTACAACGAGTGTTAGGCCGGGCATTTCACTAGTTTAACTCTCAGTGGTAAAGGTTCACATTTTATATTCAACAGCAAGTAGACCCTTGGTTTTGGAGACATTTTTAGGCTTTAAATGTTGATTTATATGCCAGCATATACAGTAAACTCTCTGCCTGTCTATTTGTATCTGGATAAATCTCCGGTCATCCGGATTCTATGGACATTCATCCGGATATGGATACAGAACTATCCAGATGTGATTTTGGCTGGATGACACAGTTTTCCGGAGCAGCGTGCTCTTACAGTATGTAATTTGCCTTTTTCCATGTATCTGCCTGTACCAGGACTCCTGCACACACACACAAAGATGACTTAAAAATCAATTGAAGTGTAATGCTCAGCTCAGATGAGGTTTTTCTCAGACTCCATCTTGACCAACTACCGTGTTTCTACCTAGCTCCTTGAGCATTTTTTCCACTTCATCTTGAAACACCTCTACATACTCTATGTTATTCTCTGGAATTCGTAATATGTCTGGTTCCCTGAAATCTTGCACAAACACACTTTAGAACTGTTCGTTTAGTGTTTCACACATTTCCTTATCATTTGTTGTGAATTTGTTCTCATTTCCTACCTCTATATTTTATCCTATTCCTAAAATTTGTTTTTATTGAATTTATTGAATAGGCCCGGTTCTACAGTGGCCCCCATCATTTACAAATTTAATCCGTTCCCAGAGATGGTTCGTAAACTGAAAATTTCCAACCCGAAACAAATTTTTCCTATAAGAAATAATGTAAATTGAATTAATCCGTTCCACACTAATAAAAATATTAGCTTAAAAATAGACTTCATACCTAATTCACACTAATACTTAGTACTATAGTATGTACAAGTTATAGCTTACCTTTATTGATGACTCTTGTTGGCGTATGGAAGACGGTGAAAACCCCCCTCCTCAGGAGGAGGAGGATAGGTGTTAGTGTTTGGAAGGGGAGTCCCCTTCCATTATAATATCAGGCAGTGATGACTTTTCTGGGGTACACTCTCTGGCACGTTTTGCCTGCATACCATTAGGGTCTGCTTGTGGCTCACTGCTTGTTTTTCTCACTAAAAACCTTTCCATAGAGACTTGTTTTTCCTACGTTGTAACACTTGTCTGTAGTGAGGCATCACAGAGTCATTAAAAAGGTTAAGGCAAAGGCCTACTACAGCTTGCTTTGGGTGAGTCGTTTCAACAAAAGTTTTCATTTCTTCCCATAGTCTACACCACTTCCTAATTGAGGAAGGGATATTCTGTACTGCCTCCTCCTTTCCTGAAGAAATTTCCTCAGCTGCCTCTTGTTGCTACTCCTTGTGAAGGGCTAGGATTTCTTCGGTGGTTAATTCTTCGCTGTGTTCCTCCACTAACGCATGACACACAACACTCACAACACTGTGAATGCCATTTCTTTTTCTAAATTTCTCAAACCATCCCCTGCTCGCTTTAAACTCTTTTGTATCTGCATCACTTGTTTCAGGGGTTTTCTTTAAAAGGTCTTCATGCAATAGCCTTACTGTTTCACAAATGATGGCTTCTGAAATGCTATCACCGCTAACTCTGAGTGATATGAGGTATTGAGTAAATACCTGTACTCATAACCACATCTATGACCTGTTGTATAAACAACAGGTTATAAAATCATTGTCTTAGAAATTAAATGATGAGGCATGAAATTCACAGAAGAACATTCTTGGTCAATTCTGTACAGTACTGTTTATGGATATACTCTTCCAGCCTGGGTGGAGCCTCCATAGCCAACTTTTATTTTATTTATTTATTTATTTATTTACTGTATATACAAGAAGATACATTGTAGTGAGAAAGTACATAACATTGGTGTTCTTACATTCTTGCAAGGTCACTAACATGCATAGCATTTCGGGCAGACACTATAACATATTATACCGGTATACCACTCTCAGGTATAGGAAACCTGGTAAGATTATTGGTGACCTAACCATGGGTAAAGTTGTGCTCATTTATTGTACAGGGTATTTATGGTTAACAAATAAAACTTTAGACATCTTTAATATCTATGCAATGTGAAATAAAACAAATATTCAGCATCTACACAATAATAACTGACCAAAGAATATGTGCATAGTAACTGTCATAGCAGGAAGACTTCCCACTACTGTTAACATATATGGCAATCCTATTACAATAGCCTGATAACATCTTTTAACTAAGTTTAATATTTTGACCACTGTTTGGGGCTATCTGCAAATTTATCTTTATTTATATATCACCGCAATAAATTTAAATTATGCCAGTACAAACTAATAAGAAAATGTAAACTGAACTTTCCTGCTTTAAGAATATAGGTCCAAATTGGTAAGACTATGAACATCTTGGTAACTTTTGTTCAACATACCATCAACATTTCCTAAGTAAACAGTGTGGCAGGTGGTTCCTATCTAGTTTACTTAGTAGGTGGAGAATGTAAAGTGGTGAACGTTGAGGTGAGAGGAAAGGTTTCCAGCAATAAACAAGACCAAACTAGCCAGAAAGGTGAATGAAATGAGGCCTAATTATAACAGTAGGGAAAACAGCTGTTGATTTGTGGCAGAAAGAGAAGGAGCAAATTGTGCCAAGCCAGAGTGTTAAAAGCTCAAAAGCAGTATGAGAATAGTATGTCAAAGTTCCTGTGGTGACTACCTACCTGGTGATGTGTTGACTGATGGGAAGCTATGAACTGCCCCAGAAGAGGAGGAAACTGGATAGTGAGCATGAAGAGCGTCACCATGACAGGATACGCAAATCGGCTGATAGATAAAAACACAGACACCTGAATTCACCTCTCGCAGGGTGCATCAGGAGGGACAGAGTATAGGGAAGGGAAGACAGGATTAGGATTTAAATGAAAAGATGAAATTGGAGAAGACAAGGATTGGGGGCAGAACAGAGCTAGTGCACAAAAACCAAAAAGGTGGGAATGTTAGAGCTAATGTAAAAGATAAAAGTTGAGGAAGACAGTTCACAGATAGTTTAGTAGATTATAAGATATGAACTTTATATAATAAAGTGTTTAATGCAAAGAAAATATGTAATGTGATGATAAGAAAAACTGAAAATAGTAGGTAATATAATGCAACTTATGATGGAAATAATCAGTACAATAACAGCAATTTAAAATAAGATTATTAATGAACTATATATATATACCTGTACTCAAATGCTTACTGTAAGGGTTATCAAGGTGGATGAAATATTTAGTAATACTTACAACTCATACAGAAAACATGTTTATAAGCTTCAAGCATTCTAGAACTACTTACTTGTGGCTTGGGTACAGCCAAGTACTATTATGGCTCTCAAAAACAAATGAGATATAAACTCACCTGATATTAAAAAATCAAGTAAGTAGACGTTCTTATATGTCAGAGGTAATTACAGACAAAGTTCATGCCAATTTCAAGATCATAAATGTATATCCACAAGAGACAATATTTGAAAGTTGACTTACTGCCAGTATTTCTTATGACTCAGACTCACCTGTTGGTGACCGCCAAGTTCAGTGCCGAAGAACTGTCCAAGGCCGAGGGGGAAGGACAGGGACCCATAAATCATGGTGATGAAGAAAGGGTACAACAGGCGACTGTCAGGGGATAAAAAATGGGATGGGAGCACATAAAAGGGAATCTCATGCAGGATATCAAATTCTGGATATTAGTTCAGAAGCAGCTCCTATAGGTCATCTTCCAATTGCACAATTTGAAGAAAAAAACTATAAAATTAATTCACTATACAGTAGAACCCTTTTTTCAATAAGTAACTATTATCTTTGTTTATTAAATTGTGCCAATCATTCTAATATATTTATCATCTGGAACCCTCACATTAATACCTCATGGAATTAATATCTCATAGTGATGGCATGTTACTAAACATTCAGGTCTTGACATAGATTAACTCATTTTTAACTGAATTTATCTGAGGGTCACCAACTCTAGTGGCCTCCAAGGGTACAGGAAGTCTGTGGGTAGTCAAAGGTATCCCCACTATTCCTGAAGATATTTTCAGCTGAGTTTTAAAATGATGGCTCCAATATAGAATCTTGGAAATTTATGGCCTCAGCATGTAGGCAATTCCATGAGTTTATTAATTATGTCCTTTGATACAGTAGTTCAGATGGAGGCATACCAGAGATTTGTAAATTACCAATTATTTTCATTTGAAGTTAGAGCTTTGTTTGATTATTCCTTAGGGTTGGATGGCTGTTCTGACCCTTGGGTTCCAAGAAAATCAGTGATAAAGTTCAACCTAAGAAAATAGTTGTGAGGATGATGATAGAGGAAAAAGAAGAGATCATCCATAATGAGGCAATGTGATGTCTCACTACAGACAAGTGTTAAAACATAGGGAAAAACAAGTGTCTATAGACAGATTTTTAGTAAGACAAGCAAGCAGTGAGCCACAACCAGGTCCTAGTGGTATGCCTGCAAAATGTAAGAGCGTACCCCAGAAATGATATCACTGATGTCATAATGGAAGGGGACTCCCCTTCCAAACACTAATACCTCTCCTCCTTTCCCCTTTCTCACTCTCTTCCATACACCAACAAGTCCTCAATAAAGGTAAGATATACTTATACATACTGTAGTACAAAATATAAATAGTAGTATGCATAAAATATATTTTTAAATTAATAATTTTGGGGCTGAGGAATGGATTAATTCAATTTATGTTATTTCTTATGGGAAAATTCATTTCGGTTTTCAAATTTTCGGTTTTCAAACCGTCTCTGGGAATGGATTAAATTAGAAAACGGAGGTACCACTGTACTTCAATGATATAGATGAGAATATTACAAACCACATCATCAGACTTCCAGATGACACTAAAATTTATGGTAAAGTGGGAAGTGAACATGATATTGAGGCCTTACAGAGAAATTTACATGAACTTCACAAATTGTCAGAAGACTGGCAGATGCTTTTTAATATTGTAAAAGTGCAAGACTTTGCATGTTGGGCAGAACAACCTATGTCTCAACTACTAAATTAACATTACCTTGCAGCAGATTGATGAAGAAAAGTCCCTTTGAGTCAGAATCCATTATTTACTGAAAGTTGTGCAAGAAATGGGAGCTGCAGTAAAAATGCTAATATAACCCTAGAAATTATCAACTGTACCTTTCACTTTAAGGAAAAGAAGGTAGTTATTCAACTGTATAAATCTCTGGTGTACCTCACTTGGATTATTGTATCCAAGCATGAAGACCTCATCTTCAGAAAGACATAGTTGTATTTAAGAAAGTTCAACACCAGGCAACAAAAATCATTCTAGAACTAAGTCAACTCTCATACTAGGACAGGTTGAGGGCCACAGTACTAACAACATTGTAAACTAGACATGACAGCGCTGATTTAATTGAAACTTTTAACATTCAGTACTGAATTTAATAATAATAATAATAATAATAGTTTTTATTTAAGCAAAAGTACATACTGTACATACGGAAATGGGATACAAGACAAATGTAGGATGTATAAGTATGGCAAGTACAGTACTGTAATATGCTTAAAACCATTAATATACACAACGTATATTTCCTCCATAATATGGAAAAAATTAAAAAGAAAAACTTGAAACTAATTGAGATCAAAAGCAAAAATGAACTTAAGTAGAAAATAGAAAAAACTCCACCTTTGATACATCAATGCAACCTGTTAACATGAAAACTAATTAGTTATTTTTTAATTAGGCTATATTTTAATGTATTTTATTGTTTTCATCACTCTTTGTAATTTGAAATGAAAATGGTGGAGTTTGGAAAAATTTTGACATTAACGTTACCTGAATATTTATAAAAACAACAAAAATATGTTCTTAACAATTGCACTATGACGTTTTTGCCAAAAACAAGTGCACAGTGCAGGGGTTAAACATTATTTGTTATTTATTTATATTACTTCAAGAATCCCAGAGAACCTCATGGATAACAGTTGATGTTTGTACCTGGCCACTGCAGTATTAAGCATCTGCCTTAGCTGCAGTGTCTTCTATATTCAAATACATTTTAAGGCTGTGAAGAGATACCTAATACATGTACTACTATCATATAAATAGTCAACCCTTGATGAAAGATCAACCCCTAGTATAAGACCAATAGGTGGGAGTATCTATATCTATCTATCTATCTATCTATCTATCTATCTATCTATCTCTCTCTCTCTCTCTCTCTCTCTCTCTCTCTCTCTCTCAAAACATGCAAAATATATATACTCACCAAGTAAACATTTTTATTATTTTATGTTGACCCAACATTGTGGTCACATTGTGTAAGTAATAATGAACAGGTGAAAAGTTTTGAAAAAACTCTATGGAGAACCAAACCACTATTTCAATATTCATAGGTTTCATTGGTTGTTGCAATAAGAACCAATCCTACTTAAAGATGGGAATGGGGGGTTGACTTGGAATCACCCCCCTCCCCCTATGATACTCTCCATACAATCACAAATCATAATATTAAGTTGTGTGAGGCTAACCACAAGCATCTGGTCTTCAACCTCAGACAAATGCTTTTTTGACACAGTTATAGATTTACCGCAGGCCTATGTATTAAGCCTGCAGTGTTAACTTGAGGTAGGTTTTTAATTGAATTTTGGGTTCTACTGTATATAAAATGATTGTACTTTTACCAAAAGAGTAAATCTAATACTATATAAAGTATTGAATTCATCTATACAAGTTGCAACTGCATGAAAGATATTCACACAGGGTATGATACAACTGAATCTGTCTTCAGAAGTGATTTATTAGTCAAAATTCTGCCAGTGTGATAATTTAGTAGAATATATCACACAAGGAACAAACTTGTACAACCATGAGCAGCTCTCAGCATGTGGTTCCTCAGTGAGTGCCAAAGGGTGCAAGGGGAGGAGAAGGAGGGACTCTGGACACAGGTGAAGAGTGGGAAAAACATTGTATAACTAAAGGTCATATGAATTGTCAGTAATATTCTACCATCAAAATAATCTACTGAGTACAGGAATTGTAAAATTAATAATATTTTAAGTGAAAAAATATTTTAATAAAAAGTACTGGTACTATAAAAGGCCAAAGCTTTTATGTTAAAAAAAAAATCCAGTGTTGAATTTAATGAAACATCATTTTCTGGGTAAGCCACAGAGGCTCCCTGAAGCTATCCAAACTGATATGTGTTATACAAGTTTGGGGTCATCAGTCACAGGAGTCCTAGCTTATGCCTACCTGGGACCACGAGCCAGAACCTGGTCCTCTCAGACAGGCACAGGAAGCAATGGCTTATGAGCACTTTACATTTAAAGTATGTCATAATTGCCACTGACTGGGAAAGGATCCAGAAAGGTAGGTGAATAAAAAGGTCTGGTTACCCTGTGCAATATACATCCCAAAAGATCAAAATAACTACCCTAGAATGAAACCAAACATACAACCCTTCATGCGACAAGCAATTCTGCTCAGGTAGCGTTATCCCCCCCCCCCTCCCTTTCTCCCACACTCGGTGACTACTCAACAGCCAAGTGACCCGGGTTCCGCTCAAAAATTGCTGAAAACAGGACTGCACCCGGATCAGAGTTACAGGAGGAAGAAAAAACGAATCCAGTTTGAGAATCACATATGAAGCCCAGCCATGTCCGAACCTGGAACAAAACTAACTGAGACTTCCACCAATTTACCAGGAACCCAAACCCGGCCAACTGGGAAAGAACCAGATCCTTGGCTAACAGACAAGCAAACCGGCTGGGAGCCCACACCAATCAGTCATCGTAGGCCAACACCCGAAGCCCTAGCAGATGCAGACGAGCTACTATGATCCGAGATCAGATGTGTAAAAACATGAGGTGCCAGATTTAAGCCAAAAGGCAGACAACGAAAGCAGTATGCCTGCTACCCCACATGGGAACCCCCAATCAATCCCTGAACTTCGGATGAATAAAGACATGGCTATAAGTGTCCCAGAGGTCATGGGAAATCATCCAAATGCCTGGCTCGAGGAAGAGCCGGACCTGGGACAACGTGGTCATCCAAAAAGAAGGGAAAGGAATCAACTGGTTCAGACGAAACAAGTCCAGAATGTGCCAGAGATCCACACAGTCCCATTTCGGAACTGGAAACAAGCAAGAAACTCACTTGAGAGATGAGGTTGTTTTGACCACGCCCAACCGAAACCACTTCGAGATGACCTGAGAGAGGGATGAGGGAAGAAGCCAGCCCCTGAGACCCAACTTCCCAATACCACCAAAGGCTGGAAGAAATGACACGAAAAGCTCACGAATCGCGGGGACCAAGCGTGGGCAAAAAGATCCAGCCTCCCCACCATTGTCCCGTCAACTAGGCGACCTGTGAAAGGGCCGACACGAACACCGAGAAGTCAACCACCTCACAGAACACTGTGCCAACCAGATGATGAAGGCCCCAGGAAACTCACTGTCGCAGAAACTGGCACCAAAGGCTTACCCCCAACCAACAGAGGTCCGAGCCCTGTCACAACCCAACCGAGAGGACTAAGAACGAACCCCCCCCACCCCCAGCACCAACAAGTCCAAAATAGGATGGCAACTGGCCAAAGTCACCTACAGAAACTGGGCAACGACGTCCTCTGGGAACAACAGAGGACAAAATGACGAAGAAGACAGCCAAGACCCAAGCTGAGTCCAAAAACAGAGCTAGCACAGCCTGCCGACACGTGAGGTGGGAGAAGAAAAACATGGAAACCGCCTCCATGGAGGATTGGTGCAAACAGGTTCAGCAAGGCAAATGACGCCTGCAGCAACTGAAATCAAAACCCCCAGCTGAAGGCTCCTCACTCAACACCCCCACATCCTCCAAAAGCCAATCCAAAAACAGCTCCAGAAGGCCGAAGAAGTGCAAGACCGAGACCAAATGACCGCAAATCCAAAGATCCTCAGCTGCCAAGGCTGAGGAACCTGATCCTGAGTGGGAACCTGAGCATGTAACTGCACCAGACCCACATCACAAGGAAGCACAGGGGCTAAGGGGCACTCTTTGAGGAACTAGAGCAAGCCCCCTAAGAATACCTGCAACACAGAAGAATCCTCCCACTACTCAAGCATGTGAGTACGACAAAAAGCCAAGCTCCAAGAGAGAAAATGGGGCAGTCTACCAGCCAGGAAAACTCCGGAATCTAACAACGCATCCAATACAGAGAAGAACTAAATTAAAAAAAAGCCGGAACCATTACAGAAGCGTAAACCAGGTCTCGCAGGAGGCACCAAGGGCCTCCCGAACCTCCCAGGGAAAATCCGAGAGGATGAAAACTTCGGAAGGACGAGTCCAAAGAATCCAAAGGCACCTGGAAATGAACCCCTGGGGGGAAGGGGAACTGCATCTAACTTAAATTCATACAGGGAAGGAAGAGTACGAAAAACCCCTCCCTTGCAGCATGAAACCTTGCCCAGAAGGCACAAGGGCCTAAGCAGAGTCAAAAGGAGCCCCAAGTGCTCCAAGCGGACTCCCTTGAGCCCCGGGAACCTCGACACAGGTCCAGGGGGCAGAACCCTCTTCCATGCCCACCTCCTCTGAAGAAAAGGCAGAGGAAGGGGAGGAACTTCCCGAAGGAAAAGGCAGGGAAGCTTGTGGCTCCCCAAGAAAACTAGTGTTGAATGTAATGATGTGACAATTTCTGGGTGACCCCTGATGCTGCCCTGATTTCACCCCCCCCCCCTCCCTTCCAGGACATCACATAGGTCTTGTTTGTGCATCTGCTCCAGACCCTTACCACAAACCAGTAGTGGTTTGTTTTGACTCACTGACTTTCTGGATATCTTCTCCAGTGAGGGGACAAAATGTTAATGCTCCCTGGGCCTCTGTGAAGGGGGCCAAGTTCTGGCTCTGGTCCCTGGTAGGCCTAAGAACTCCAGTGTTGATGTGACCTTGAGGTTATCTTGAGGTTATCTTGAGATGATTTCGGGGCTTTTTTAGTGTCTCCGCGGCCCGGTCCTCGACCAGGCCTCCACCCCCAGGAAGCAGCCCGTGACAGCTGACTAACTCCCAGGTACCTATTTACTGCTAGGTAACAGGGGCATTCAGGATGCAAAAAACTTTGCCCATTTGTTTCTGCCTCGTGCGGGAATCGAACCCGTGCCGCAGAATTACGAGTCCTGCGCGCTATCCACCAGGCTACGAGGCCCCTGGTAGATGGGAATCAACTCTGTGTATAGCTTCAGGGAGCCCTCAGGGCTTTCCCAGAAATTTGCATTTCATTACATTCAACACTAGTTTTTTAAGACTCAGCAAAGCTGATAGATCATTAGGATATTGATCTATTTTATCATCTTATACCAAAATAATACAAGACCATTAGTTTAAAAAACAGTGAAATTGCAAAATAAATATAAAAAATTATGTTTCTCTTAACATGATACATATACAGTATTATGAAGACACTAGAAAGGTTTGCATAGAAATCAAAGGGACTAGCAATTAAGGTACCATAGTTACTTCACTGATGACAAAAGATAATATCACCAGAAGATTTCTTAAATTTACAGAAATTTACTGTAAGTGTGCTAGCTGAAATTAATATCAGTAACGTATCAATTCAAATTGAACAGTTTCATACTAGGCAGAGAAAGTACTAGCTTATACTGTACTCTATTCAAATATACCTTTGAGAATTAATTATAAGTTACAAATTGGTAACACAACTTTGATGAAAATAAACAATCTATATAAGAAGGTTAGTTGTGCTTTTTTTTATAACAGTAAGATACTCTTGCCTTATATAACATGTCATAGACACCCAGGAGCACTAAGCAACTTGCTTTCTCTTCACTGCATAATTAACAACACTAAAAATAGATTGATATTTTTAACGAGAAAGAAATGAATGACTTTAACGACTTAAAGAAATGTCAGTTTAAAAAGTACCAAAAAATGCAATGAAGATAACTAAAAACCAATAATAAAAAACCTAATGCAATATTTATTAATATTAACTACCATTGATTAATACAATACATTATTTTTTTATTAACTTGCTAATAACTTTAATACCTTTTGACCTAGTGGGGACTAGGGCCCTCTAGTCCCCATCAGGCCAAACAAAACTCTACTTGATATATTCTAAGAGTTGCAAGACACCTCAACGAGATAGCTTCAGGAATCTTCAGGTGCTCCCCCAGAAATTAAAATTATGGTCTTGTATAAATAGAAGTATGTTTTTGTATATTAAAAATAAGTTGAAGCTAATGGAGCATACAATTTGAAGCCAACTAAGCAAAAAATCTGAAAACCCAGTACAAGCCCCAGTAGCTTCCTGAAACTACTGTATCTCGCAGAGATGGCTCCCCACTACTGGGTCACATCAGTTGCAGGAGTCCTGTTGGACTACCAGAGGCCAGAGCCTGAACTTGGCCCTCTCACAGAGGTGTAGAGAGCAGGGAACTAATATCATTGCCCTCACTGGGAAAGCATTCAGAAACTCAGCTAAACTTTACAGACAATTACATAGCTCATAGAAAATGAAGCATCAAAATGACCAAATGACTAAGCAAATGATTCATGCTAAACAATTGGTTCCCTCTAAACTAACTCAAACTCGTTAGTACCAATAGCTACCACCAGGCATCCTGGAGCCCCAGCCCACAGCTGTCACCATTGATCAGTTTGGAGCTAATGGACAACGAAATGAAAACATGGTAGAGAGGAAAATAGGAAGGCACCAGGGCTCTACCCAAAAGAGACATTACATTACATTTAATGCTTTCTGAAGTTAAATCCCCACTAAGAAGCAGGAAAACAAGGGATTACCAAGTAGGAAAGTTGGCAAGAGCTAGGTCGAAGAGGAAACCTGGCTCAATATTACATAAGACCATCTGGAACCAAGGATACTAACCAAATATCAAGGATGAGGTAACAATTATATTCCTAAAATAGATTAATGATAAATGATATAAGGAGATAAAAATTTAAATACCAAATACCTCTTCTGAAGGAAGGCCTTCATCTTTTTGTTCTTCCTCATGAAGATGACGTAACGACGATGCGAATACACGAAGAGTGCACCCAGGAAGCCACACAGAACTCTGTTGGCAACCAAATTGGCTCCATAAGGATGCTCATAAGATATAAGAGTAAACAAAACAGAACACTAAGTATCAGGATATGAGAGGGGCTGATGAACTAACGAATGACTAAGGGTTCAAGAATTATGTAAGCTAAATTTTGGACACTAAAGATGCAAGACTAAGCAAACAATTAAATAATGTACAGTAATAGGAATATAAATCAATTGGTTACAAAAATGGACTGAGGTAAGAAATCTAAAACTTACATTACAAAGTTGCACAATGGAAGGCACCATATTCAATTTATGAAAAATGTTACTGTATTTGTTACCAACAACCAAATCATAAAGCAAGAGTGGATTTATAATTATGCTTATGAATTTGACTTGAAGTGTGTCAATATACAGTATTGAGAACTGTGATTTAATAATGGACCTTTGAGTAAGTAATTACAGTTAGGTAATTACTAATAAAAATTTTACTAACTTGCATGTAAGGATGAGCAAGTAAGGACTATAATAATTATTTTACAAGAGGAAAATAATAAGGATATCACAGGTAAGTATTTGACAATGAATATGTCTCTAGATACCAAAACAATTATTTTAATGACAATAACTTGATTGTCAAAACTATGATATAAGAGTGGAGCAAGAGCAATGCCAGCACAATGGTCAGTGCATCTGGTTCACAACTAAGGGATTCTGGGTCTGATTCCTATGGCAGGATGAAGATATTTGAGCATGTTTTCTTTCACTTTCACTGTTCACCTTGTAATATATAAGTACCCAGGAGTTAGACAACTGTTGTGGGTTGCATCCTGGTAAAGGTCAATCATAAGTGGCTTCCATTTGGGGCTTCCAGTCCCCAACAGGTGAAACTGGAAACCAACTGGCTGAAACGCTATAAGTGCTAGTGGCTTTACAAGAATGTAAAATCTTCATTGCTATGTACTCTCTTAACCCCCCAATGTACCTTCTTGTACTAGGATACTTGAAAATTATATGTTATAAGAGTGGAGTAGGAGCAGTAATAGTAGCACTAGTACCAGAATGGTAAAACACAGAAATAAAGCAAACGATTGCATGTTGTGCGGCTACATGGATTACCTTAAAACTAAGAGAGGTGAAGTACAGTAGCTTGCAGTAAGAAGAAACAGCACTCATGAGGTTGCCATTCATGATATGTATTTTCTATTGTCAGGAACAGGAAGCCTGTTAGGCCTACTGCGGTCCACTTAGGCTAACAACCACTGTAACCCTACCCAGGATGCAACCCACTACACTCAACTATCTCCTAAGTGCTGTAGGTGTAGCACCTATTTACTCTTGGGTGAACAGCATCATCAGGTGTAAGGAAATGTACAAACAAATGTTTTAATGAGGATAAAACAAATGTTTCTACAGTATCTCTAAGACAAATTGTGAAATGATTGTAAACAAGAATCAAGAGCACGCACATGCAGTGATCGCTTATCAACAGCACAACTACTGTCATACAGAACAATATAAATTATGTGTGAATTTTATTCCTAAAATAGAAATGTATTAGCTTAATTAAGGAGATGTTAATGCAGGTTCATATGTGAATGTCTAAGTGCACTTATTGCAAATAAGAGATGGCTTTATGGGTATACAACTAACAGAATATTAATGTGGAATTATAAATTATTACTAAGCCTTAGGTACCAGTATATGTATATGCAAAATTATGATGTTAAACCACAAGATAATATTTAAAGCAATAGTATAATATTTAAATCTGCCATTTTAGTTTATATATATAAAGGTCTCCTTTCCTAAACAAAATATATCACAAAATGTAATTCCAAATTTTATATCTAACATGCAGCATAGTTATTAAGCCAAATGCTTAAATAAAAGACTATAACAAAAATGTTTTAAATCACTCAGCTAAAGGCTAACTCAATAAGTGTTTCATCACATAAATTGAGTTTTCCTTACAATAACTGTGGTATAGCAGGTCTACCTACTGTCAGTAAGAAGTATAACAGCAAAAATGGCCAGAGTATTAATGAGGAAACAGTTTACCCAAAAATAATTCTGACAATATATATATGTGGCATATTCTGCCACTCTCACTTCTCTGGCACACAATCAACCAAAATATCCTTACTGTAATGGCAAGTTTCATTTTGCCCTTTAGTTAACGAGACACGTAGCATTTTAAAATGCTTACTACGTGGTAATAGAACGAACAACGAAAGAGCAAAAGTACTGAGCACAAGTTGGGAGTACAGTACTGGTACAATTCACCAATCGGTAAATCCTGGCTTTTAAATGCCAGTGCTATACCTCAAAAGTTACTCGAGTCACAAATAAGATAATACCTTGCATGTATGATACCTAAATTAAGATGTGAGAAATATTGCTTGTGCTGGCAGCAGCAGGTAACATTTACAGTTATTTGTGAAAAGTTACAAAAGTGTGGTACAGTATCACCTACACCTCCGATATACTGTACTTGTCAACTACAGATCAAGATTAATTAAAAAATATCATGACTATTTTTCATTTTGAAGCATGCTAAAATGACCAGTATAAAAATTAAAATTATTATGCAAGAAAACTGTTAGAACTAGTTTTTCTATCATGTGCATACTTGAGCACACTTGTGAGGAGTGAAGTTTTTTACTTCTGATGCATTTAACCATCACCATCCCCCAGTGCTACCACCAAAAACCTCACTAGTCTACAACCACTATTACAACGATAGCTATCATTACTCTTCATCACCGCACGCACCAATTAACATTTATATCTAAAAACCTTATTTTCTTTATATTATTTTTTGTATAAATTGTGATCTGTTCATAAAAAATATTGAAGAGATCGACTAGAGTATCTCCGCTTACCCAACAAGAGCAAAGACGAACAGCTCCTGTGGATCGAATGGGTATCCCACCTTGAAGTTGGTCTTGAAGAGTGCAGTCAAAGTTTCTGAGAACAAGAACAAGAAGAGGACATAAAACATGGGCATCCTTAAAAAAAAAAGCATGCCAGTGGTTATGTAGTTGACACCGCTGACAGAACCAGAAGATATATCTAATTCCTTTGTGCTCCAAACCACAGCCACATTTGCAAATGATGGTTTTCCTTTGATTTCTTATCCAAGTCCTTGGGCCAAGAAAGTGTTGAAACTCAGAAATGTTTGCAGTTTACTGCTTTGACTAATAGCAATCTGCCATTGTCTTGAATGATGTAATGTTCAAAATAAAAACTAAAAACTAGAAAATAATATGAAGGACTAACTAAACAAGGGGAAATCTGTTTCTACCAGGGGCCCAATGTATTATATGGGGTACCTCCTGCAAAGCCTCAGCCACTAAAAATACCATACAACAACAAAGCTATGTGGTATTAGGGCCAACTTCAGCAGAAAAACTGTAAGTCACATAAATTATAGTAAGTGTTCTTCTGGTAACCATGCCTACCCTAAGGTTTTATTAAACTAACATTTATTTAAATGTTTGTTTCTATAATATTTCAAAGAACACTTTTTTGGGGTCTTGAAGGTGAGGCTTGCTGATCATTGTTAAAAGGAGTTAAATGCAAGCGATGGGTATAGCGTGGCAGCTCTCAGTAGAGAGACCGGCCACCTTACCCAATCAGAGAATAGATGAACAGCTCCCGAGGGTCGAATGGTATGTCTGCTTTAAAGGAGGACTGGAAGAGTGGAGTCAGCGTGGCTGGAGGGAAGGGTACAGACAATTGCTAGTAGACAACTCACACTAATATACCCAAGAAAAACATTTTAGTCAAATGAACATTAATTATTAATTACATTTGGTGTCACATCACATTCCTGTGACATTTGTGACATTTTGGGGGGATGATGGCCTATAAGCAAACCAAAATGTTGTCTATTTAAATGATGGCTCATTCTCTTTGATTCTGCAATGTATTTATGCCTTAATTAATTTCATAATAAATATGTCACTGGTTTATGAATACTGTACTGAACTGTATAACATATTAGTGAATAAATTTATCAAAATCCTCAACACATACAATATTAAAAACTTTGACCTACTGAATATACAAATTTTAGTTGGGAGGGCACAGGGTTAAAGCACTAAGCCCAATGGATAGCCTGGGCCTGGCTCTTTCTTAAAGAAAAAAACCAGCGTTGAATGTAATGCAATGCCATTTTCTGGGTTGAGCCCCAGAGCCCTGGATAACCTGGATGTCAGGCACTTTCTCCTGATACTTCCCTTTCCCTTCTCTCGGGGGTTCAGCCCCTCTTTATTGACAGTTGGGTAGAGTGGGGAACTTATAAGAAAGGCGTCCTTTTTGGAAGGAATGTAATAGTGTTGATAACTGGCAGTGAGCAGTTGGAACTGTGTTGGTTTGTAAAGGAAAGACATTTGAAATTCCTGGGATGCACAGTCTGAACTTTTTAGCTATCCCATCATATGATAGGATGTGCAGTCGAAGGGTTAATCTTCTAACTTAATCCATTTTACCTACATCAATACATTACTGTACATCTGTAATTTGGGCAAAATTAGCCTTGATAAGAGCAGCAACCAATCCTAGTTATCACAATTCAATCTAGATACCATTTTAAATTATAAACTCTGAACTAATTACAATATTCTGAGTGCACTTTGGTAACACTAAATGGAGGCCAGATAGGTCTATATTCTTTATTTAATTTACTATTACATGTTCAGTACTGTATAATATTTTGGTGGCTTTATAAAATATAGAAATATTGTACCTACTAAGTAACAACTATAATAAATGTCCTTTGCATACCTTAGAAATAAAATATTATTACTGCATTATTGTTCTTGATGACAGGAGTTTCTATTCAGTATATCCATTCTTAATTCAGAAATAAAATTTAATATTAAATGTGTTAAAGTGTCCTCAGTCACACATGACTAAAAACCATCACATTTGTATAGATACCTTCATCGTTGAACCAAACTGCCAGCAGTCGGAACATCATGGCTCCACACACGGCCGCAAAGAACCCTCGCCAGTAATTTCTGACAGCAAAGTACACACTTGTGACCTCGATGCTGAACAACACTCCTGTAGAGAAGACCACTATTACCTACTTTACTCTTATCATTATTATCTAGGGGACTCCCCCACTGGCTCCCTAAAGCTACTTTGTTGAGATTGTGATTGAGTGGTGATCGATCGCCACCCAACACAACAGCCTCAGAACTGAGGTTGGATAGCTGGCATGGAGTCTGGGGGCCCCCCATTCCCCCTCCCAGAAAGGGGGGAGCTGCATGGACAACTCCCAAGCTGTCTGTGTGGCTATGGTGACATCATGCTTGTTTGCTTCAGATTCAGATTCAGCTTGTTTTCTGATGGTGGAGTCCTGTTTGCTCGTTTGGCTTTCAGTTTGCAATTTTTCGCCAGCTGTAGTTTGTTTTGGGACTCCTACCTTTCTTGGTGCCTGACCTGGTAGAAGGCAGATATAGACTGCTTCCAACTACATAGGGGTGTCTATAGACCATTGCTCCAAGTGCCTCTCTGAGGGGGACCAGGTTCTAGCTCGTAGTCTCTGGTAGGCTTAGAACTCCATCGATTGACTGTTTCCACAGTCTAGTATATACACATCAGCCCAGTATAACTCCAGGGAGCCAAAGGGGTTCTCCACAGAAATGAGTAGTAATGACAAAATACTCACCACCAACAGGTGCAGCAAAGCAGCAAGCCACACCCACAGCGCACGCTGCAGCTAACATCTCGGAGTTACGCGACTCATTCTCGTAGATGCCCTTAAACGAGGTGACGGCCTTGGACAGCAGAGTGGCCACCAGACTGGCAATGTGTACGAAGGGGCCCTGAAAGGTAGGAAAGAGTCAGGCATACACTGCTGCAAACTCAGCTATGACACTGGCAACCAATATGTAAAGCCATAGTGCAGAAGCTCGAGTGGTTGAGCAAGAGGAAGTGATGGAGGAGGAAGTGGTGTGCAGTATTGGAGGAAGATGAAACAGTGTTGGAGGAGGAGGAGGAGGAGGAAGGTGGTGAAAAAAGCAGCAGTGGAGGATGATAAACGGGCAGACAGTACTCTAAATGAATACTTTACATCAGAGTTTACTATATAGTAAACTGGGCTAACAACACTGCAAACCAGGCATGACAGGGCTGATCTCATTGAAACTTTTAAAATACTGAACAATTTGGAGGATGTTGTCCTGGACAATTTCTTCAAAAGTTCAGATGTAACACAAACAAGGCGCAACGGTGTCAAGCTCAACAAGCCACAATGTTGGACTGTGAACAGGAGATGCTTTTTCACCCACAGGGTTATTAATCCGTGGGACTGCCTACCCGCCGAAGCTGCAAATGCCTATTGTATGTAAATGTAAATCAACTAGTATTAGTGGCCCTCAGGTAAAATTCAGGTAATTCAGATCATTGCACTTGTTAACTACCCATACAGTGTGTGAGTACTTTCTTGCGACCCTTAGCTTATTTTGTTTAATTTTAAGATTTAGTGACATTAGCCTATGTTCATAGTTTAGGTATAATACACACTCACCTCCTTGCCTAGTGGCAATCCAGTGCCCAGGGTGGCTGTGAGACCAATGACCTTAGCTATCAGAGTCTTGAAGGTGAGGTATTCCTTAAGCACCACCCCCCTCAGGATGGTCTTCATCTCTGGGATGCCAGAGCCTGCGGGAACAAGAACACATCATTGTCAGTAGCTTCAGTTGACAGCCTGTTGGGATGAGGGGAGAGGGAGTAGCAGTTCGTTCCTGGGCAAGGTGGGGTGAGAGGGGTAGTTTGTTCCTGGGCTAGGAAGGGTGAAGGAAGAGGGGGGGGGGGGTTGTTTGTTCCTTGTTGGGGGTGAGAGGAGAGGGGGCTGCACATAGGAGCCACCTAGGTGCAGCAGGGAAGGTGGGGACCGACATTCTCCCATAAATTATATATTTTACGAAAACTTAATGGTGGTAAGAGTAATGGCAGACCAGCATAATGGGAAGGAAAGGAGCTGAAGATATAAATGACAAAACATTGCAAAATTTAAAAATCCACTTCATCAAATAATCAGAACAAATGGGGGAACTTTTGATCAACATGCCGCCAGCTTCCTGTCCTCATCGAGGCCACTAGAGTTAGTAGCCCTTCGGGTAAATTCAGGATACTGTACTTCAGTAGGGCACTTAGATATTAAAGAAGATTATGATAAAAAGTAATTAACAAAAGACGTTGTGAGCAAATTAATTGGATCTGAATTAACAGCTGACCTTATGACCCCTGTATCTCACATGCTCTTGAAATAAAACCAAATAACTAATAAAAGTGGCATTTTGTAATTTTTATTTTTGTTAAATGTTACGTGAAGTGCAATTAAACTGGTATTTTATATCCATATAGAAGCTTACACGAATCGTAATAATTGGAAGGTTCACGAGTAACCCATTCTGGACAAATTATTAGTTCCAATTCTTGTAACAAAATTTGATATATTGTATAATATATATGCCACAATATATTGATAAACTGCAATCCTGAGAGAGAAAGAGTGAGTATGCAGACATGCAAGTTGAGGGGGGAAGGGGGCCAGGTTGTCCAGTGGGCAGGCAGTACCACCTATATATATAAGGGGGTGTGACAGCCTGAGGCAGTCAGGTGCTGCTGGAGCAGACGGGTGAGGGGAGCAGGGGCCAACACCACACCAAACTTGCGGTCAACAGGTGTGCTTACAAATCACACAGTAAACTGGTCACAAGCTTGTACGTACATGTCTTGCAGTCAAGTAACCCAAGCAAGTGCTCAGGTGAAAGCATCAGTCATCGAGACAATTATATAATGACAGTTTACTTGAGAGATATGCTGTGGGGGCCAGCGGCACACCTATTGTTGAGAACACAGCCAAAACACACACGCAGCTAGCTGCTCGGATACGTTTGTATGTGTCCTGAAGCCGACGTCTCCCCTCTCCGAGACATATGTGGACCCTGCCCCCTTCCTCTTCAACTGTGGCAACTATATTAAGAACTCTATATAATGCTCCATACTCACATTAGGTTCATGACAATGAGATGGGTCTGTTAATTCTACATAACTTATCTCTAAGTGTTTCATATTCCTAGAAGTCCTACATCAAACCAATCAAATCAAATCAAATCAAATGTTTATTCAGGTAAAAATACATACAGTACATAAAAGATGAGTTACAAACATAATGTTGGATTTCTAGATAGAGCTAGTACATACAATGCGTAAAGCCACAATACGCACAGCGTTTCGGGCAATGATTCTTGGTTCACTAATTACAGTCGATATCTCTTCCCAACCTGCCAGATGATGGTCAATTTGGCAAGATGAAATGGAGGCTTGTAATATAAGCCATTAACAGCACATCAGCAGTCAGTCAGTCAGTCTCAACTTGTACAGTGGTTCAGTACAGATGCTTGAAAGATATCGCACATCTTCAACATTCACCAACAACAATGTAACACTTGATGTATCCAGTTCCTACCCTCACAAGACACTTCAGCTTTGACACAGAGCAGACAGTCAGACTCCGGCTGCATCGAGCTTCCATGCTCTCTCTCTCCAGTTGCATTCGAGCTCTCTATCCCAGGCCTCGCTCAAGCTGTCTACCTTGCTCCAGGCCTCGTCTCAGCTACTACAATATTTCTCTACATTGCCAACACACCTACTGCCAAAACCAAGACTATACTAAATAAATAAAAAAACACAATATTCTTTGAGTCTTATCATCCAAAAACGTACACGTAATTATACATTATACAACCCTGGGGCAGACAGGTGGTTAAGCCCTGGTGCCAGTATGCCTAAGCACTCCATATGAGAAGTGTCAGCATATATATACGCACTTCAGCTTCTTGAAGATTACTCTCACCCTGATTAAACTACTTCATCTGCTCCAGGTCTTCAGTGTGAACACTAACAAAAATAGCATGTAGAATACGTATTGCAGTAAGTGCTGTATACGTGAAGCCCAGCCTGACCCTTCTTGACATTAATAGCTTCAGTTTGCAAAGTACTTTTGTCTTCATTCCCAAGATAAATCACCGAAGACTATCCTTCTGAACACTCCAACAGTGGCCTTGTGCCCTCTCACACAACTCTTCCCCCACATTTAACATGGCAATACAAACTAATAAACTTGTGACTTTCTACAGTAGATATTTAACTCAGCTGGCAATGATGTTATGAATAAGAGGGAGCTCCTATCCCCGGCTTTCACGACACATTTCAAACGCTACGGGCAGAAGCAGAGTGGGTACAGAAGGGTGCTGGCCAGTAGTGTCCAGAGTTGTCTGCTGTCTGTGTGGGGAGTGAGGGAGCAGACACCCACACAAGACCACTTCCAGCCACCCTGCTACCCTAGGTACACCCTCAGGAGTGAGGGGAAAGGGGGAGGGAGGAACACCTAGACACACTCCAACCTCCAGGTTCTTGCTTGCAACCTTTTACCGAGTATGTGCTAGACGTGGCCTCATGTACTGTGTTGCCCACCAGCTGCTCACATGTGCTCTCTTGCCAGTGTGTGTGCTGGGGTGTACACCATGGTCAGTGTGTATGATGCTTAACACACCATGGTGATGCTTAATGCACCATGATGATGCTTAATGTACCATAGTGATGCTTAGTGTACCATGGTGATGCTTAATGCACCATGGTGATGTTTAATGAACCATGGTGATGCTTAGTGTACCATGATGATACTTAACACACCGTGGTGGTGCTTAACACACCGTGGTGATGCTTAACGCACCATGGTGACGCTTAATGCACCATGGTGATGCTTCACACATCATGGGGATGCTTAACACACCATGGTTACGCTTAACGCACCATCGTGATGCTTAACGCACCATGGCGAAACTTAGCGCACCATGGCGATGCTTAATGCACCATGGTGATGCTTCACACATCATGATGATGCTTAACACACTATGGTGACACTTAATGCACCATGGTGACACTTAGCACACCATCGTGACTCTTAACTCACCATGGTGACGCGTAGCGCACCATGGTGATGCTTACCACACCATGGTGACACTAACTGCACAGTGGTGATGCTTAACACACCATGGTGACACTTACTGCACCATGGTGATGCTTAACACACCATGGTGACACTTAATGCACCATGGTTATGCTTAGCGCACCATGGTGATGCTTAACATACCATAGTGACACTTAATGCACCATGGTTATGCTTAGCGCACCATGGTGATGCTTAACGTACCATGTGTTGGTAATAAAACAATTTTGTGCTACCAGCCACGCACTGTGGACACATATTACCGTGTGTGGTCTGGTCTCATGCTGCCCCAGTCATCATATATTCATTTGCAACACTCAGGCACACATGCACATGGGCAGCACCACACTATCGGTATTTAGTGCATAATATTGCAGGGAAAGGGAACAGCGAGTGCTTGCATAGAGTGTGAGAGTGCATGAGAGTGTAAGTGTGAGCCTGGAGTGCATGTAGAGAGGGGCCAGAGGTCTAGCAAGCCTCCTCATCCAGCACCTTTGAGCAGAGCGATAATCTCAGGAAGGCCAGAACCTGTAGAGGCGAAAACACGTGACAATCGCGTCGCTTCTCCCCTCCATGTCACGCACACAATTATATTTGTCATGTCAATAGATAAAGCACAAAAGCATCTCTAATGCAAATGAAGATAACGAAGAATTAGAGCAAAGTTGTAATCATTTTACATAGAAACATAAAATAAATTAAAAGTGTTTTAATAAGCATGAAACTAACATGGCAATTAAATGTAATTAATATGTTTTATATAATATTAGATTAGATTTATAAAGCCTCCAAGAATGCATTGGAGTTGAAGGCAGAAGATGTGTGGACACAGTAACTGACAAGGAAGAATGTACACTGTACATAATGTACATCTTGTTACACACAAGAGATGTGTACACAGTAACTAACAAGGAAGAGTGTACACTGACATGTTACAAACAAGAGGGATGTACACAGCAACTGACAAGAATGTACACTGTACATCATGTTACACTCTAAACCAAAATCTGCATTAAATATACACTTTTATCAAAACATTTCTACCTCACTCATTACTACCAACAATTAATACACATACAAAAAAAAATAGTTCATTCTACTAGACTATTCTACACGTCACATATCTTGCAGCATTTATTTATGAACAAATATTAACAATTCTTATAATAAATTTTATTCAAGCTGAAATTCATTTAAATTAATTCCTCTACAAAACAAGACTATAACAAATGTTCTTACAATAGTGAGATCAAACCAATGCACTGTTATTGTTGATTATCAAAAATAAATTTACAATACATGTAGTTAAAGTTTGTATATTATTCTTTTTTATTTTGGTAAATTCGCTAATTTTATTTTACAAACAGGCCACATTATTTTGAAGTACTGTATATGCATACATCTAATTACTGAAAATAGGTACCCGCTGGTGCAAGGGCTAATCTGGCTCTCGCTCCACCCCATTTTGAGATCATCTCAAGATAACCCCTCTTCTTTCCCCTTTTCTGTCCCTCCCCTTCTTCCCTCGCATATCCCCCATTTTCTCCCTTCTCCCCCCTCCCCCATTCACCCCATCTACCCTCCCTTGCACCCACATTTTCCCTCCTCTTCCCTGTCTGGCCTCCATCCTTAAACAAAACATATCCATAAAACCTGATAAAAGAAAATGTCCATGTCTGTCTGTCCAGGGTTGGAGGCCAGATGATTGCCTCACCCAACTTTTCATGAAACTGATATTGGGTATGGGATGAACATAGGCTGGTCAGTGATAATTTAAGTTAAATACTTTATGAAATATTGGCATTTAAAGAGCCCCTGTGCAATTTTTATGGAGTCAAGTGTGAAATTATTTAGTTTGTTTCCCACAGGGTTTTGAGTGCAAGGTAAACAAAAAAAAAAATCAGAAACCCATACAATTGTTTCAGTACTTCTAAATAATACATATTCTGAGAGACAGGGCAGAGGGGGAAGAGGGAAAGGAGGAAGAGTGGGAGGACAATGGAGGGAGGAAGTGGGGAACCAAGGGAACGGGGTTGAAGAGAGAGTGAGGAGAAGAGGTGAAAAAAAGAGGAGAGTGACCTGGATGCAGCCAGGTGGGCCTTCTATATATATCTATTAGGAAGAATGCATGTTTGTTTGTCTATTTGTGTGTCTGTCCAAGGTTGGAAGCCAGACGCTAGGGGTTAACTTCACTCAACTTTGCAGTGGGCGAAGGGAATATTCAGGGATACAGGACGGACATAGGCTGGTTGGGAATGCCAGAATTCAAGAGGGAACAAAGTGCCAGGATCATATTCTGAAATTTTCTTTATTTTTTTGTAATGAAGCAGGTATTTTCTCCCCGAGTCCATGTATGACTAACCATCCTGTGAGATAGGGATATTATATGAACTTATAGCTAGTTTTTTTATCTATGCTGTGTAATCTTTCATACATAATAGGGTAGCAGCACATTGCTGTGCATATCTAAGCTTGTTAAAAAAATGCATACAAGCTACACCATTCACAATAATTTGAAAAATTTCAATTTTGTTTTTTTTAGTAAAGGAGAGGTTTTGATGATGGGTCTCGCTCTCCACATTGTCCTCTCCTCACGAAGTAAGTAACTGCCAAAATATTAAACAACCCCTGGCTCACAAGTGTCATACTTAAGGCAATTAATAAGAAACACGAATATGACAAAATATAGGATTGGCCTAGTTACAAAAGAAGAAGTTAAGAGATACTCATCAATGCTTACCAATATAATATGAAGAGCCAAAGTTTCCTTTTATTAGAATAGATTTAAAGAAGTGAAAGGAAATACTGTATGAAGAGTACATGGAAGGTCATCTCTAACATCATAGGATCTAAACAACAATCACATAATAAGCAGATAAAACTCTCCAAAGATGGTTATACACTTGCAACAGACCTAGGAATTGCAACCAAATTCAATAGCTTCTTTTCATCAATTGGTGCAAACCTTGCCAGATATATCCCGGAGACCTAGACACATGTTACTACATATCTTACCGGCAACTATCCTAACTGTCTACCCCTTTTACCAGTCAGCCCGACAGACAATATATTCATAATTCAATCACTTAAAACTAATGCTGGGAACATTAATGAAATACCATCTATGATATATAAGAGTGCTGACAATGCCCTTGCATGAGCTATTAAACAAATCTCTAGTGTCATACTTTTCCTGATATCCTCAAAAAAAGCCAGAGTGACTCCAGTTCATAAAGGAGACGAGACCGCTGACAATTATTTACCCCCCCCCCCCAATTGTGTGAAGGGAAGTTTACTAGTGACAATAAATCATACATATTCATTCCACTCCAAAATTATAAATAAGTAACAAATACAATTAAATACAGTCCATTCTAATTAATCACTGGAATGATGTAGTTTCATTCATTTGTAGTTTGTATTAATCATTGGCTTATGTAGTTTCATATTTACCTCCTATTCTACTTCTTAAGTTTTATAACCGAGTTAGATATGACTTCCTCGTGCCACCCGTCTGTTCTACGTGTACCCTTGTCTGTGTACCCTGGTCATAACCTGGAGTTCAGTGTAACTACAGTAGATCCAAGTGCTGGCCAGAAAGAGACACATGTCTGATATAATTATACAGTATGTAACGGTTCTATTGTTACGTAAAGTATGGTGACAAATAAACACAGACACTAAGATACTATATATATATTTGGTCGAATATACAGAAGTACACAGGTGATACTTTGGTGTGAGTTGGGCGCACTGAGCGTCGGTACAGTATCTCGCAAGTGTCTGCTCTAGACCACACTTGAAAGTAGACTCTGGTTAATGTTTGCTATTCTGCTGCTTATATGCTCGGGCAACACCTCACCGTGTTGCCCGGGCAACGCCTCACCTCATTCATCTCCAAAGGTTGACAGGAATATTAACAAAGCATTTGGAGCGAGTATATTATTGGGATAATCTACTCGCTACAAGTACTTATGTAGGTTAACCTAAATTGTCCCTTAGGGAATCCTTGACTTTACCACTACCTTGGCTATTTATCATTCTACCAGTCCCCCATAGTAACAAGTGCACTTGTTACTGTGGGCGAGTTTGTAGGATGATAAATAGACAAAGGGGGAGTATCGACAAATGGGTTAGGCTAGGCCTGGCCCTCAGGGAAGCAGTTTTCAAAAATCTATATAAATATGGTCTGCCGTCTAGAACAGATCACCTAACCCTATGCAAGAGGTGGAATGGAGACTCCAGGTAGATGTCTAATTTATTATAACCCTAAAACCTGTTGTGTGTCAGTCACTATGCACCCCCCACATACCTGCTGTGTGGGTAATGGCGGAGAAGGTCACAAAGGCACATAATGGGAAGTTAGAACTCTAGGTGTTTGACACCAGCCCGTACTACCCTGATTATTATTTGGGTTTAATTACTGTACACTATATATTTCTTTAAATTCAAACTGGAAATAATGGATGGTAAAAATTATGGACAATGAACCTGAACTCATGTAAGTTATTTTCCTAAAGTCTGAGCTAAATATTAATAAAAGAACAATCTGGTCCCAGGCAATGATATTTCAGTGAGTTCCAGGTGTGGCCACTTTTGTTGATGTTATAAAGCGGGTTCTGAGAAAGTTCCAAGTGTGGCCATTTTAGTTGATACAAAGCAGGCTCTGAGAAAGTGAATTAATGTTTTATAAATAACCTTAAACATTATTTAATAAATAAATTATATGAATACATACATGCTACATACATTATATGAATAAGAGAGAGGAGAGAGCAGTGTGAAGGAAGAGAGGTGAAAGCAGTGTGAAGGAAGAGAGAGGTGAAAGCAGTGTGAAGGAAGAGAGAGGAGAGAGCAGTGTGAAGGAAGAGAGAGAGGTGAGAACAGTGTGAAGGAAGAGAGAGAGGTGAGAGCAGTGTGAAGGAAGATAGATGAGAGCAGCATGAAGGAAGAGAGAAAGGTGAGAGCAATATGAAGGAAGAGATGAGAGAGCAGAGTGAAGGAAGAGAGACAGGAGAGAGTAGTGTGAAGGATGAGAGGAGAGAGCAGAGTGAAGGAAGAGAGATAGGTGAGAGCAGCGTGAAGGAAGAAAGGAGAGAGAAGTGTGAAGGAAGAGAGGAGAGAGCAGTGTGAAGGAAGAGACGAGAGAGCAGTGTGAAGGAAGAGAGGAGAGAGCAGTGTGAAGGAAGAGAGGAGAGAGCAGTGTGAAGGAAAAGAGGAGAGAGCAGTGTGAAGGAAGAGAGGAGAGAGCAGTGTGAAGGAAGAGAGGAGAGAGCAGTGTAAAGGAAGAGAGAAGAGAGCAGTGTGAAGGAAGAGAGGAGAGAGCAGTGTGAAGGAAGAGAGGAATGATGCGAGGTAGCCATGCGGTGTGTGAGGGGTCCATGAAGGAGTGTGAGGGGAACACGAGGGAGTGTGAGGGGACCACGAGGGGCAGGTACAGTACTGACCAACAGCCTGGGGAGCCAGGAGGGTGTGAGGGATCCATGAGGGAGTATGAGGGGACCACGAAGGAGTGTGAGGAGACCATGAGGGGCAGGTACAGTACTGACCAACAGCCTGGGGAGCCAGGAGGTGGGAGAAGCCAGCAGAGAAGAGTATGAGGCAGACGGGGAGGGAGACCCAGGCCAGGTACTGCAGGGCCGTGTGGCTCGCCAGGTCTCGGTACAGCCATAGTCGAGCTGCAACAAAACCAATCTCTTAATATGCAAATTATCATTATCTGAAAATGTAATATTAACAAATAAAAATCTATTCAACTTGTGGCTTATAATTTAGACAAATTGTCAGCTCTTCCTTCAAAATGTTTGTTCTCAAGATATTAAATTTAGAGTATATATATATATATATATATATATATATATATATATATATATATATATATATATATATATATATATATATATATATATATATAAGCATTTAAGTTAAAATCTGTAAGACTGTGATAATCAGCTGTCTAACTCCCAGGTACCTATTTACTGCTATGTGAACAAGAGCATCAGTGTGAAAGAAACTCTGCCCATTTGTTTCCGCCTCCGCCGGGGATCGAACCTGGTCGATCACAGTCTGCGACAAGCTCCCCAGCACAAACATCAGTAGGTTCAAGCAGTGGAATATTGACATTACCGACTATACACTAGTGGGTTGCATGGCACCTTCAGGGTGGTGGATGCGCCACATTCCTCCTCGGGTTGTGGTGCCCGAGGGCGGGGTGCCTGGGCCTGGCACACAGGTCAAGGAGGTATATTTGGTGGCTACCAGGCCGTGCCAGACCCTTCGTCAGCCCGCAGACAGGGTGTGGAGGGCGGGGCCAGGACCACAAACACCCTCATCTCCCTCCCCGCTCTCTCACTCACACACATATATACACACTCTAGTATGTATGTGCATACATACACACTATACACATAGAGAAACTATAGAAATAACAGGACACCAGAGAGCAGAGAAAGATACCAGAGTGTCACAAATGAGTATATCATGGGTGAGAAGAGAGGCAGAAAGACAATACGAAAATGACATAGCAAGCAAGGCAAAGACTCAACCTAAATTGCTGACAACCACGTCAGAAAGAAAACAATAGTGAAAGAACAGGTAATGAAACTGAGAAGAGGGCCAAACAGTTTCACTACAAACGACCAGGAAGTGTGTGTGCGAGGAACTCAATGATAAATTTCAGGAGGTCTTCACATTAGAGAAAGGAGAAGTTCCAGAGATAAGATAAAATATCTAATCAGGTACCACTGGGAAGTTTGAGGTTACCAGTGGGGAGGTGAGGACGCTTTTGCTAGATTTGGATGTGACAAAGGCTACAGGCCCGGATGGAATCTCACCATGGATACTAAAAGAAGGAGCAGAACTAGTACTGTGCCTTTCACTCTGCATAGAATATTTGCTGATGATGTTAATCTCAGATAACATTTGAACTGCAAAAAATTTGGAAGACAGCTAATGTAGTCTCGATACACAAGAAGGGTGACAGACAGGAGGTACTGAACTACAGGCCAGTATCCCTAACGTGCATACCATACAAGGGAGAAAATTTAGAGTGAAATAACTTTGTAACACAGCATCACAGCTGTTGTTTATAAACCGACCCATTGAAACTGAAATAAGCGTCTTTTACGCAAATATTAACCAGTTTCGTTGTTATTACTTTAGTTGGTAACAAAAACTTTACTTCGGAGGACAGCTTTACTAGGAAAATAATTTTGAGTGAATTAAAATTACATTTCAATAAGTGGATGAATGAAAGCAATCCCATTAGCCCCGCTCCTCGGGTTATGGAGAGGGTTACGAGGGATGACGTCCACATGAACGATCATTAACAACTCCAGTTCCCAGAAGAGCAGCATTACAGACAGGACACATGACCATACTTCCATAGAAGACATTACCGCGGGTACATCGCCAGGCGGGAATAGTGGTAACCTGGTAAGGTGGTCAAGAAGGGAACTCATCCTCCGAATTGACAGTACACTTTCTTACTGTCATAAACAGTGCATAATTACACTTATGGGGCTGTTACATTTACCCAACCCCCTCCCCTAATTTAATTCTCCTCGTTTTCTGTTAAGACACTTAGAATTTTAGGATGAAGTCTTCAATTTCAATTAGCTATCCACAAGTTTTAAATATCAGGAATTTCTTTTTCAGGTTTATTAAACAATATAGATTTTATACAAAATTTTAAAATATCTTGAGTTTTTTTACAATTTATTGATATATTTTAGTTTTGTTTTATTAGTTTTGTAAAACTGTAATATCAATATAGCTATAGGTTAAATACTAATTGTAATTAAGAAGCAATAAAATTATTATCTTCAAAAACTAAGACGGTTAGGTGAGGTTGTGGTTTTCTATTCAGTTTTTCAGGTAAACTCAAATATTCACAATATATTTCACAGTACTAAGTGAAAATAAGTACAATTCCTAACTGCTATGAATAGTACATAATTGCACTTATTTTTTTCCTTACATTTACCACCCCATTTTTGGAGGACGGGCTGCAGAACAATGCGAAATTCCTTACATAAATTTCACGTATCACAAAAAGTATGGGTTTTTATCCTGTTATTATGTCTGCGAGGAGACATTACCATTACTAATTATTATTATATAAATTCATTTCTTTCGTTGCCTCAGCAACAATGCACTGTTTACATGTCTGAAAATGAAATACCAATACCAAGAAAATCCAGCTGACTTCTGCTACTTACCCAGAAAATAGCTGAGCCTATTCCCTTATACACACACATTCTCCAAATACTCACTAGCCTATTATTCTTTGTATACCTTATATAAGTAAATATTTAGAGAGAGAGAGAGAGAGAGAGAGAGAGAGAGATAGATAAGAGTGGAGCATACCTTTGTTGCACATGGCGATGCCGTAGTCCATGATGAAGGAGATGATGGCCATGACCACACCCAGCATGGCCAGGAAGACCCAGTCCTCGCCCACCCTGGCGAAGGTGGCCCGCCACACTGTGCTCAGGAACCTCACGCACTTGCTGGCCACCTTCCCCCGGTACGGCCGCAGACCTGTAGCAGGGCAAGGGTTAGTGTCTCACACTCACCACCACTACCACTCTCACACTCACGGCCATAAGTGTGTCACTCACTCACTATCACAACACTCTCACACTCACGGCCACAAGTGTGTCACTCACTCACTATCACAACACTCTCACACTCACGACCACCGACTGAATCTTATGCCTTTACTGATGGCTCTGTGCAGTTAGGCACTGGTAGAACAGGTTGTGCATGTGCAGTGTATAAAGGGAATGAAATGATCATGACTAGTACACAGAGATTGAACAACTGGGCAAGCACGACACAGACCGAGCTATTGGGTATTTATCTAGCCACTGAATACCTTAAGCTCAATGGTGGTGGAGTTATTTTCTGTGACTCTAAAAGTGCTCTGCAGTCCTTAAATAACCCATCACAATGTATGTCGGAAGTAGCTTGTAATATTAAATGGAATGTAATTTTTGCCAATGATAATAATTCTTGTATAAAATTTGTGTGGATCCCATCCCATGTTGGAGTTGAAAAACATGACTTTGTAGATCAATTGGCCAATGAGGCTTGCAGGAAAGAAAACATTGATTATGATTTTGGACTATCTAATGCAGTTATTAGAAACATACAAATTAAAGAAATTAATTCAGATTTAGAAGAACTAAGAAATGCACAGAGACCTGAAAGCTGCAGTATTAAAAGTTATGACAAGTTCTGTAATAATAGGTATTTGTATGGTCAGCACAGTAACCGGACCAGGCAATGTGATGTAGTAATTGCGCGAATTCGCCTTGGCTATAGACACATCTGGCAGGTTAGTGAGGCTGAGCCACTACCAGAATATTCAGATTGTAAACTCTGTGATAAACCTTTAATGCATTCACTAGAACACTATATTGATGAATGTGAAACCGTAAAGGACTTTAGACCTCCTGGCCTATTGTACCACCAACTGTGTAACTATTTTATTGACTCAGGTGTTCTGGACGACATCCTAACAATTTACCCAAAATTTGCTTGTCCATTTTAAAGAATGAAGAACAATTTCTACTTATATTCTAAGCTGTATCACTTATGAACCCATCCCTGCCCTTGTGTGGCAGTGCACAATAGAAAGTTGTTTTCACATATCCACACATTAAAACATTGATTGTAACCGTGATATATATGTGCTTCAGCCTACAGTTTAGGCCTATTGTCTTATGTATGACCCTCTGTCCTGCGTGACAGTGAATACTAGCATTAACCTCAATTTAATAAGACTATCAAAATCCTCAGATTAGGCAAAATTTTAATTAATTTTGTCAATAAAGATGTTAATAATATAATAACTCACGACCATAAGGTGGCACTCACTCTCACTACCACAACACTCACACACTCACAGCCAGCAGTGTCTCACATACCACACTCACTCATATATATATAAATATATATATATATATATATATATATATATATATATATATATATATATATATATATATATATATAATAATATATACATATATATATATATATATATATATATATATATATATATATATATATATATATATATATATATATATATATATATATATATATATATATATATATATATATATATATATATATATATATATATATATATACTATATATAGTATATATGTGTGTTATACATATACTAAGCCTAGGAATATTTAAGTTGTTTTTTAGCTTCATTTTTGTATGACTCTGTTAAGTGAATTGTACAAAATTCTACTGTATAATTGCTTAGTACGTCAACGTTTGTACTATGGTGCACATAGTTACAAAAAGTACTATGTAAACAGGCGGATGGGTTGATAAGTAAGATATATACTCCTGTTAACACATATACACAATTTACATTCCAACATGTCACTTGAAAAAAAATATAAAAAATCCGAGATTGTTGGTGTTTATGTTGTGAAGAGTGTAGTGTAGTGTGGTGTAATGTAGTGTGGTGTGGTGTAGTGTGGTGTAATGTAGTGTAGTGTGGTGTAGTGTAGTGTGGTGTAGTGTGGTGTAGTGTAGTGTGGTGTGGTGTGGTGTGGTGTAGTGTGGTGTAGTGTGGTGTAGTGTAGTGTGGTGTAGTGTGGTGTAGTGTGGTGTAATGTAGTGTAGTGTGGTGTAGTGTGGTGTAGTGTAGTGTGGTGTGGTGTGGTGTAGTGTGGTGTAATGTAGTGTGGTGTGGTGTAGTGTGGTGTAATGTGGTGTAGTGTGGTGTAGTGTGGTGTAGTGTGGTGTAGTGTAGTGTGGTGTGGTGTGGTGTAGTGTGGTGTAGTGTAGTGTGGTGTAGTGTGGTGTGGTGTAGTGTGGTGTGGTGTAGTGTGGTGTAATGTAGTGTAGTGTGGTGTAGTGTGGTGTAGTGTGGTGTAGTGTGGTGTAGTGTAGTGTGGTGTAGTGTGGTGTGGTGTGGTGTAGTGTGGTGTAGTGTGGTGTAGTGTAGTGTGGTGTAGTGTGGTGTAGTGTGGTGTAATGTAGTGTAGTGTGGTGTGGTGTAGTGTAGTGTGGTGTAGTGTGGTGTAGTGTGGTGTAGTGTAGTGTGGTGTAGTGTGGTGTAGTGTGGTGTAGTGTGGTGTAGTGTGGTGTAGTGTGGTGTAGTGTAGTGTGGTGTAGTGTGGTGTAGTGTGGTGTAGTGTGGTGTAGTGTGGTGTAGTGTGGTGTAGTGTGGTGTGGTGTAGTGTGGTGTAGTGTGGTGTAGTGTGGTGTAATGTAGTGTAGTGTGGTGTGGTGTAGTGTGGTGTAGTGTGGTGTAGTGTGGTGTAGTGTAGTGTAGTGTAGTGTGGTGTAGTGTGGTGTAGTGTGGTGTAGTGTGGTGTAATGTAGTGTAGTGTGGTGTGGTGTAGTGTGGTGTAGTGTGGTGTAGTGTGGTGTAGTGTAGTGTGGTGTAGTGTGGTGTGGTGTGGTGTAGTGTGGTGTAGTGTGGTGTAGTGTAGTGTGGTGTAGTGTGGTGTAATGTAGTGTAGTGTGGTGTAGTGTGGTGTAGTGTAGTGTGGTGTAGTGTGGTGTAGTGTGGTGTAGTGTGGTGTAGTGTGGTGTAGTGTAGTGTGGTGTAGTGTGGTGTAGTGTGGTGTAGGGTGGTGTAATGTAATGTAGTGTGGTGTAGTGTGGTGTAGTGTGGTGTAGTGTGGTGTAGTGTGGTGTAGTGTAGTGTGGTGTAGTGTGGTGTAGTGTGGTGTAGTGTAGTGTGGTGTAGTGTGGTGTAGTGTGGTGTGGTGTAGTGTGGTGTAGTGTGGTGTAGTGTAGTGTGGTGTAGTGTGGTGTAGTGTGGTGTAGTGTGGTGTAATGTAGTGTAGTGTGGTGTGGTGTAGTGTGGTGTAGTGTGGTGTAGTGTAGTGTGGTGTAGTGTAGTGTAGTGTGGTGTAGTGTAGTGTGGTGTAGTGTAGTGTGGTGTAGTGTGGTGTAGTGTGGTGTAGTGTGGTGTAGTGTAGTGTGGTGTAGTGTGGTGTAATGTAGTGTAGTGTGGTGTAGTGTGGTGTAGTGTGGTGTGGTGTAGTGTGGTGTAGTGTGGTGTAGTGTGGTGTAGTGTAGTGTAGTGTGGTGTGGTGTGGTGTAGTGTGGTGTAATGTAGTGTAGTGTGGTGTAGTGTGGTGTAGTGTAGTGTAGTGTAGTGTAGTGTAGTGTAGTGTGGTGTAATGTAGTGTAGTGTGGTGTAGTGTGGTGTAGTGTGGTGTAGTGTGGTGTGGTGTAGTGTGGTGTAGTGTGGTGTAGTGTAGTGTAGTGTAGTGTGGTGTGGTGTGGTGTGGTGTAGTGTGGTGTAGGGGTGACCATCTCTCACAACACAGTCCGTCCCTCTAAGGTGTCCCAGCCTCAAGAAATTGTCCTACTAAAGTGCCCCCTTATCCTATCCTGCCAGAGAACCCACAACAGAAAACGGGAGTGTGTCAATTTCGCTACCTTTTTTTTGTCATGGGGTTCAGTTCCTGAACCCATTATGTGCCTCTGTAACCCCGTCCACCACCGCCCATGGGATGTATATAGGGTGCATAATAAATAAATTAATCTGAATCTACCACATTCTTTTAGGAGGATTTTTGGGCTTAGAGTATGCGTCAAAATGTGACGTTGTACTAGGAGGACGGGTTGAGACACTACGACACACCTCGTTAGCTCCACAACAGCTTAATGAATCCAAATGTGTAGATGTGGTTGATAATAAGGGTGGCGGCGTGGTTCGTGTTCCAGTGATTAAGGGAGTGTAGTGTGTGTGATAGGTTATCGCCTTAGTGGTTCCCCGTGGCTCAGTAATGTTAGTGTCTGGTTAAGTCAGTGACGTCATGTGGGTGTTTATCTGGCCAGTAACGTCAGCCTTGTCGCCCTTCACAAGACCACATGTGCACCTATACCCGCCTAGATGGTATACCCGACATACCCGTCTACAAGGTATACCCTCTAGACGGAATACCCGCCTAGAGGATATACCCGTCTAGAATGTATACAGTTGCCAAGGCGTCACAACCCCTTCGTGCACCTCACAGGAATGCGCTAACAAAGCGACACAAACATACTCTATGTTTTTTAAAGTACACTCAGTTGATCTACGGGTCCGTCTAATTACCCAAAGCTACCCAAAGCTTCCTAGTATTACGTAAGTAATGAAGAACTATGATATATATACCCACTATAATGGTGCTGAATGTACAACATGACAAAACATGTTTTTACTCTGAAATAATTTCTATTGTTGTGTTGCAGAGGTGACTTGTTGAGTTGCAGAGATGACTTGTTGTGTTGCAAGGGTGACTGCAAACACAGGTCCCCTCCAGCTGTCTCACCCGGGGGTCTCCCCTCACAAGTCTCCCTCCTGTAGCCATTGTTAACCCGCACTAACTAGGGGATTTATCCAGGTGGGAGAGTGAGGCACCACCCGCCACCACCATCTTCCCCCAGTATACTCTGGAGCAGACGGAGGGCCTCCTTAAGCGAGGAGCACTGCCCGGTAAACTACCCGAGACCCTCAAACCTTCACACTAAATATCCATTGTCACTGCGACCCGTAGAGCGGGTGGACACAATGGTACCCATAGAGCGGGTGGACACAATGGTACCCATAGAGCGGGTGGCCACAATGGTACTCGTAGAGCGGGTGGACACAATGGTACCCGTAGAGCGGGTGGATACAATGGTACCCGTAGAGCGGGTGGACACAATGTGACACTCACTGTGAGCGTGTATAAAAGCGTGAGCGTGCTTGTGAGGGTAAGAGTAGCCTCACAAACACATATATCATCATGTTTTACACACAAAAATTCCCAGCTGAAAACCTAAGAGCCACACCGACGTTAATTTACGACTGCGGTCCGCACGGCGCAGTAAACACTAAGGAAAATATACCATTTAAACTTTGAGTAATACAAAAAGATTAAATATAAAAGAAGTGTTCGTAAGAGACAGTACTGGAGGACACAGAGCTGTGTAGAGCTCTACTAGTTTACTGCTGAGTGTGGCTCCATGGCGGGCAGGTGGGCGCTGCCTCCATCCATGTGGCTGTGTCACAGTGTCCTCCACCACTATGTGGCTCTATGGTACCCCCAGTGGTGCACACAGTACCCCCAGTGGTGCACACAGTACCCCAGTGGTGCACACAGTACCCCAGTGGTGCACACAGTACCCCAGTGGTGCACACAGTACCCCAGTGGTGCACACAGTACCCCAGTGGTGCACACAGTACCCCAGTGGTGCACACAGTACCCCAGTGGTGCACACAGTACCCCAGTGGTGCACACAGTACCCCAGTGGTGCACACAGTACCCCAGTGGTGCACACAGTACCCCAGTGGTGCACACAGTACCCCAGTGGTGCACACAGTACCCCAGTGGTGCACACAGTACCCCAGTGGTGCACACAGTACCCCAGTGGTGCACACAGTACCCCAGTGGTGCACACAGTACCCCAGTGGTGCACACAGTACCCCAGTGGTGCACACAGTACCCCAGTGGTGCACACAGTACCCCCACTGGAGCACTCAGTACCCGAGTGTAGGCATAAATAGAGGACTGGTGTAGCACTCACCTGATGTACCACTCTCCAAGGTGCTCTTTTCTTCAGTCTTGAGTTTCTTGGCCTCCTGTCTGGCGTACCGGCTCAGGTCCTTGGTGTACCGCCCGTACATCTGTCAGGGAGGGAGTCAACACTTGCTTAGTACCCCGCTCTCTCCTCCATCACACACACACACACACACACACTATATATATATATATATATATATATATATATATATATATATATATATATATATGTATATATATATATATATATATATATATATATATATATATATATATGCGGAAAATCCACAGAGAAATATGAAATGAGGTGAACGTTTCGGCTTTGTTAAAGCCTTTGTCAACACCAGACTGACTGATGAGTCAGTCTGGTGTTGACAAAGGCTTTAACAAAGCCGAAACGTTCACCTCACTTCATATTTCTCTGTGGATTTTCCGCATAAAATGATCAGTGTTTTGTGATCGTCAATTGCATATATATATATATATATATATATATATATATATATATATATATATATATATATATATATATATATATATATATATATATATATATATATATATGCGAACAAGCCTGAATGGTCCCCAGGACAATATGCAACTGAAAACTCACACCCCAGAAGTGACTCGAACCCATACTCCCAGGAGCAACGCAACTGGTATGTACAAGACGCCTTAATCCACTTGACCATCACGACCGGACAAAATGAGGTGATAGCCGAAGCTATTTGAACCACCCCACCGCCGGCACTCGGATGGTAATCTTGGGCATAGCATTTTACCAAATCACCTCATTTTATATATATATATATATATATATATATATATATATATATATATATATATATATATATATATATATATATATATATATATATATATATATATATATATATATACCATTATTATGATCATTATTATATTACTATTATGAAAGGGAGAAAGGGGGGAGGGGAGGGGAGAGAAAGACTCTGATTATTATTAAAAGTTTTATATCTATAAGACTGAATGTCCGTTCAAAGTTGGAGGCCCGGAGCTTGAGTCTAGCCTCACTCAAATTGGCAGAGGGTAATGGTCTGCGGTACGGGACGGATACAGTCAGGTCGGGATAGGTGGAAGATAAATAATTTAAGAAATACTAACAATATTAATGAAGAATATTACATACTTGAAGATATACTAACAATACTCTATATACCCCTAGAGGCCATGTTCAAGGAGTCATTGAAGGAGTGATGTGTAAACATGAAGCGTGAACACCGTAGAGTTTAACACCAGATGTACCTCATAACTTAATAAAAAAAAAAAAATCTCCACACATTGTGAGACTATGATAATTTAGGGACAAGTACAAACTGTACATACAAAATGAGTTACATGCAAAATGTTGGATTTCTAGTATCAAGGTAGAGACACGCTAGGCCTCAACCCAACACGCACAGTGTGTCCGGCAAGATGTGGGAAAATAAATTTAAAAACTAAGACTTAAAACTAATTGAGATCAAAAGGAAGAATTGAATTAAAGCAGAAAAATAAATGTCATTATATAAGTACATATTGAAAGGAGCAGCAGAAATTGGAACATAACAGCATATAGTAGTTTTAACTACATAAACAGATGGAATACAATTGTCTTTAATTATGTACATGGTAGACACAAGCAGTGTTACAATTTAGTCATTACTACACTACACACAGAGATCACACTAACGTGATGCATCAATTGAACAAATTTTAACCCTGTCGTAGTTCAGTCGATTAAGGCAGTGTCTGGGATGCTCCCGGACGCAGGTTCGAATCCTCGTCACGGCCCTTGTGGATTTGTTCTTTAGTCATTACTCATTAATGTTTGACACGAGAGAGAAGGGCAGTCTCAGACACAAAGTTGTCACATTTTTTCTTTTTTTTTGGGGGGGGGGGAGGGGGAATAAAGAGTATGGAGAGGCACAGGTGAAGGGAAGTTTAGAAGTGGGAAATACAGTGAGAGTTATGAAATCAGGCGGGCTGTCCGCCTTGCTGACACTATGTATGGGTGTTGGCAACTAAGCTAAGCCTGTCTGGCCTGTCCAGACTAAATATGTCTGGCTGCTAGAGGCTAGAGGCTGGAGGGTAGGAAGATGGGGGAGAGGAGGAGTGAAGAGAGAAGTGGGGAGAGGAGAGGAGGTGGAGGATATGAGGAGGGAGGAACAATAAGAGGGGTGGAATGTCGGGCAGAGAGAGAGACACACGGACTGTCTCGAGCCCCGCCGGTTAACCCCCCCCCTCCCCCTTCATACTAAAATATAAAGGCAACATTTGGGAGGGAGAGTGGGCACCCCGCGCCACCACATGAAGACAAAGGGGACCGCCTGGTGTAAAGTGAGGCGCACAAGTGAGGCTGTTGAGCAACTGTAGCGACCACGTCTTCCACTCTCTGATACACGACCCTACACCTAGTGCCACACTGAGGTATGCTCCCTCACTCACACTCTGAGGTATGCTCCCTCACTCACATACTGAGGTATGCTCCCTCACTCACACACTGAGATATGCTCCCACACTCACACACTGAGATATGCTCCCTCACTCACACACTGAGATATACAGAGTGGATATTTTCCATGCGACGCAAATATCTTCTACCATCTAGGGGGGTTGAAGAAACTCTAGATCACTTAATCTTTCCATTTATAATGTTTGGACGTCTCGTCAGCAATGGGACATCTCCAGGAGTACACTATGTTGCACTGACACACTTGTACTGAACTTACAAGGAGAAATCTAGACATTTAAGTGTGTGGGGGAGACCTCACTCTACGATTCAGCTGAGACCGATGAAGTGTAGGGTGATCAGGCGACTCTTGCCTGACTCCGGCAACTCCAATCTTTTTGTTTTAATATATATATATATATATATATATATATATATATATATATATATATATATATATATATATATATATATATATATATATATATATATATATGGTTATACTGCTGGTAGCAGTATAACCACAGAGGTGGTAGCAGTATAACCATAGAGCTGGTAGCAGTATAACCACAGAGGTGGTAGCAGTATAACCACAGAGGTGGTAGCAGTATAACCACAGAGGTGGTAGCAGTATAACCACAGAGGTGGTAGCAGTATAACCATAGAGCTGGTAGCAGTATAACCACAGAGGTGGTAGCAGTATAACCACAGAGGTGGTAGCAGTATAACCACAGAGGTGGTAGCAGTATAACCACAGAGGTGGTAGCAGTATAACCACAGAGGTGGTAGCAGTATAACCACAGAGCTGGTAGCAGTATAACCATAGAGGTGGTAGCAGTATAACCACAGAGGTGGTAGCAGTATAACCATAGAGGTGGTAGCAGTATAACCACAGAGCTGGTAGCAGTATAACCATAGAGCTGGTAGCAGTATAACCATAGAGCTGGAAGCAGTATAACCACAGAGGTGGTAGCAGTATAACCACAGAGGTGGTAGCAGTATAACCACAGAGGTGGTAGCAGTATAACCATAGAGCTGGAAGCAGTATAACCACAGAGGTGGTAGCAGTATAACCATAGGTGGTAGCAGTATAACCACAGAGGTGGTAGCAGTATAACCACAGAGGTGGTAGCAGTATAACCACAGAGCTGGTAGCAGTATAACCATAGAGCTGGAAGCAGTATAACCACAGAGGTGGTAGCAGTATAACCATAGGTGGTAGCAGTATAACCACAGAGGTGGTAGCAGTATAACCACAGAGGTGGTAGCAGTATAACCATAGGTGGTAGCAGTATAACCAGAGGTGGTAGCAGTATAACCATAGGTGGTAGCAGTATAACCAGAGGTGGTAGCAGTATAACCATAGGTGGTAGCAGTATAACCATAGAGCTGGAAGCAGTATAACCATAGAGCTGGAAGCAGTATAATCACAGAGGTGGTAGCAGTATAACCAGAGGTGGTAGCAGTATAACCACAGAGGTGGAAGCAGTATACTGCTAGAAGAGTAAGAGGAAGTACCCACCGTGATGCGAGGACACGCCTCCAGAGACAGTAAGCATGGAACACAGACGCACATATTATTATACATATAAGGAAGCGCAAGAACACACACGTTATCAAACACACGTGAGACCAGCACACCAACATGCGCTTATGTGAAAACTTGATTAAATGTTAAAAAAACAGATTAACAACACAGTAGGTAAACACAGACAGGCGGAGATGATGGACATAATAAACACTTGATCGCAGGATTTCTCTAAGAGTACAAATATGTAAACAAAAAATATAGTTAAGTGAGGTTTTGAAGTCTCGAGAGAATTATCCGTGTACGATTTCAAGAGTTGTTGTACTCCCGCGATGTTGCCGGTGGCTAGTTGCCCCTGATGGTTGTCTGGTCCCTATAAGGTGAGTCTTCGCAGCCCGAAGGCCCATATAGCCACCACAGCCATGCTTCATATAGCTGTGGTGGCTATATGGCCCATATAGCCACTTATCCCTTAACTGCAAAAGAATCTTATCCCGTTCTCTCTTGAAAACGTGTAATGGTGTAGCTACATGTTTATGTTGGGAGGGAAGCGCGTCAACTGGACCGTCAACACAAGAGTCCAGGGACCAGATTCACTAAAGCACTTACGCAAGTACTTACGAACGAGTACATCTTTCCTCAATCTTTGACGGCTTTGGTTACATTTATTAAACAGTTTACAAGCATGAAAACTTCCCATTCAACTGTTGTTATTGTTATAAACAGCTTCCTGGTGCTTCGGAGCTCATTTACTGTTTAATAATTGTAAACAAAGCCGCCAATGATTGAGAAAAGATGTACAGGTTCGTAAGTGCTTACGTAAGTGCTTTCGTGAATCTGGCCCCAGAACTGTGTGGTGTTGACACTTCTCCAGCTCCTCACACCCACACTTTTCACCGCATATATTCTGTACTTGCACCCGTATCTCTGATGACCGTAGGCTGTAATGTGCGGGTGGAAGGTTACACGTGTGACCCTGCACCATCACCCAGGTGCACACCATCACACATCTTTGTTCCTGGTCTTCGCCCCGAGGACTGATGTTGAGTGCTAAGAGTAGGCGTGTGTGTGGAGGCTTCAGTGTATACTTCAGCTGGTGGTGAGGG